GAATTTTACGCTGATCAAGAATATATATACTTTGTTGGGTCTAAAATGATTATTTCGATGAGTTACAAACGGAATGACGAACTTTATATACCCTCCATACTTTTTTTGGTGGAGGGTATAAAAACAAACTAAACAGAACTAGATCAAAGTACATTCGCCGCAAAATCAGTTCACAATCTTCACCATTTTTCAAATTAAACAAAAACGGCACTGACTTTTTTGTTGATTATGAAAGATGACTAAAATACAAAAATAAAATTTTAGGACCTTCTCGATATTAATTATTTAAACTCCATATAATTTTCAAATATGGTGATATTTTGAATTAATTTTTAAAACATTTTTCATCACTTTTTTTAATCTTCTTAATTCTAAAACAGTGATAACTGCTAGTTTTCTATGTTTGAACTTTAAAATTACCATCTTTGATTTGGCCGGGCCGAACTTTGTATACCCTCCACCATTTGGAACGAATTTGAAAATAAAGTCCCCAAAAAATTCTGTTGAAATTTTAAAAATACCGAATATAGTCGTTATATTGGGGTCTATACGACGTGGACCTACAAAGGCATTGTTTGTCATAAGCCATTACCATATTCAAATTCGATAACTTGTAATAGGGTAAGTGTACCAGTAGTCGGCACTTTTAGGATTTTCGCGTTTGTAATCGCTCACCATTCTGAGTGGAACTTTTCAATCATTACAAAGTTAATTTATTCAGATTTGAAATTTTGTATAGTTTTTGCAATAATAAATAAAGTTTTAATAACCTTTTATTAAATTTCATAAATTTGTAGTTTTATTAAAACAATGCTTTTTTGCCAGTAGTCGGCACCACTTGCCAATTGTCTGTATGGCATGTTGCAACAGTCGGCATACCAATTTTTTTGTAAGAATAATTAATGATAATAATAAATTAATTCATAAAAATATAATATTTTTGTTTAGTTAAACTGATTCGACGTCTTTACTGTACTTCTCTTAAGAATATGGATTGTTGAGGACTTTCACATACAGAAATTTAATTTTTATTAGAATAAATCATCTTTTCTTAGCGAAATTGTACACAAAGATAGCTGACAATATATTTGAAGTAAACAAAATATATTTAGTTATAAAAGTTTCATTTATTTGGGCTTAAAAATAAAAAGTGCCGACTACTGGGACATGCCGAACTTAGGCACACTTACCCTATACGGTGAATAATTTAGCTAAAATGGCTATATTCGGTATTTTTAAAATTTAAACAGAATTTTTTAAGGATTTTATTTTTTGAAAATTTCCAAATTCATTCCAAATGGTGGAGGGTATTCAAAGTTCGGCCCGGCCGAACTTACTGTTTTTTAACTTGTTATACCCTCCGTCTTGGAATGGCCCCATATTGAATGAAAGCAAAAAATGTCGGAAATAGCATCAAATTTTAGAATAAGTTTAAATTTGTTACAATTGGTCACCTTTGGCACGAATTATGTCCTTTAAACGGTCAATGAAACCGTCACACGCTGCCGAATGTTGTTCTGCGGTATTTTGGCCCGTTCCCGGTGAAGCGCTTGCTTGAGGTGATCGAAACTTTTGTATTTTTTAGTGCCAACCTTGCTTTCCAAAATACTCCAGATACAATAGTCCAACGGATTGCTATCCGGAGAGGAACCTCATTTTGTGACCAATCTGGGGTGGTGCGTGCTGAGTCCTGTTGGAATGTCCAAGGTCTGCGGCCAAAGTGTTTGCGTTCCTAAGGCTTTAATACACCCTCCAGAATATTTTCGCGATAATATTCGGCATTTATTCTGATGTCACGGTCGATTAATACGAGCGGAGAGCGACCATCGGTTGTTATGGCGGCCATCAGCATGGCCGGCGCTTGAGTTCTGGTGGCCAACCGAAGGTGCACATTTTCAGCTGACCTCTTTGGCAAGTGAACACGATAATTTTGTTTGTTTACAAATTGCTGGACAACGAATGTTTTCTCATCGGAAAAACCAAATTCGGTAGTTCGCCACTTTCGGCCAAGCGAAGTAACTCTTTAACTCTTTTGAGTCTATTTTCTTTCTATAGCGGTGTAATATTTTGCACTTTTTGGAATTTCAATGCCTTTACCCCGAGCTCATTTTTCAATATTTGCCGAATGGTTCAGCTCACAAGCCATTTTTTAGCCACAGCGACGCGGGTTTCGATCAAGTCGCTTCTTTACTTTTCGAATCATTTCTGCTGAAGTTGTTGTTTTTTTCGTCCACTTCCTTGACGTCGGGCTACGCTGCCAGTATCACGGTAACAAGCGATGGTACGAGACACAAAAGATTTATTCATATTTAAATGCTGGAGTGTTCTAACGATAGGCACTTGTGTTTTTCCGGCCAAATATAAAGAAATCACACTATCACGCTTGTATTCGATCACGAATAGCCGTTTTTCTGGAAAATTCTCTCCAAAATGCTTTTGTACGCTTGTAAACAATATAATGAGCTTTCACTGGAATAATTTTAACATCTGTCGGACGAGTGGCTTAGAAATGACAGCAGCCTAAAGTTGGTTGCAGTTTTTTATCTCACCCTGTATATGTAATATAAGTCCAAATTTAATAGATTTTTTCATATTCAACCGACTTCTTCATATAAATTCGAAATATAATTTTTATACCCTACAACACTATGTGTTGGGGGTATTACAAGTTTGATTGGGCCAAAAATTATGTAACACCACGAAATATTGGTTTCCCACATAGGAAAGTATATATGGATCTTCCTAGCTCGCCGAGCTGAGTCGATCTAGCTATGTATGTCCGTCCGTCCGTCTGTCCGTCTGTCCATGTTAATTTGTAATCACTCTACAGGTCGCAATTATGGTCCGATCTTCACGAAATTTAGTATGGAGGTGGGGTTAATGTCAGAATAGAACCCTATTTCTTTTGGAGATGATCGCCAAATGTTTAGGGGTTGAAATGGACCAAATACTGAAAAAATGTCGGATTTTGCAGTAGCTATACAGGTCGCATTTATAGACCAATCGACGCGGAATTTCGCATGTAGCTAGAGTTTAGGGCGGGGAAGAAGCTTACCAATTTGGGTGGTCATCGGATAATATTTAGCGGGTAAAATAGACCATATCTTTTGTGTTGAAAAAATTCAAAATTTTTCATTAAACCGCGAATATTTTAAATCCCGGCGAAATAACAAAGCCATGACAAGGTTTCTTCTGATCTTTACATTGATGTTAACATCCAACAAAACGGATATATAGCAAAATATGTGCGATATATATGTTTATCAAAGATGATATGCTTGAGAAATCTCTTATATGTCGAGAACAGCTGAACTGATTTCGACAGTTCTCATTAATTCAGAATGGCCTCTTGGCAGGAAAGAAAAAACGTCTAAAAAAATCGCATAAAAATATCTCTCTAAGGATGAAAATATTGATTTTGTAATATTTTCTCATATTTTTTCAATTTTGTTATATTTTTGACATATTTTCATTTTGAATTAAACATTTGGTAATATTTCTACAGCTAACAAAACTAAGTAGTTAGGATATCAGGATATCGTATACAGATCGCATTTATGGCCCGATCCTTACGAAATTTTGCATGGGGATAAGATGAGGGTCAGAATAGAAGCCTACTCTTTTTGGAGATGATCGCCATATATTTAGGGGTTGAAATGGACCAAAAAACTGCAAAATTTGTCAGCAGGTCTTAATTATTGCCCGATCCTCACGCACATTTGAATGTGGGTTACCGGACATTGCAAAAGCCAAGCAGTTTTGGATGGCCATCCAAAAATATTCAATGTGCGAAATAGTTTGCCAACTTTTGTAGACAAAATACGAAAATCTCCATTCCAGTGACTTTATGGAGAATTCACAAATACAGGAAAGACGCACTTCTGACTATTTCGTTAACGCTGATTTCGTGGAAGAATATAGTCAAATGTCTGTATCTCAAAAAAATATAATGCCAATAATAAATGTTAATCTTTTGCCACTTCTAAGAGACTATGGGTCTTTGGGAAATATTGGTTCCAGATCTAGGAAGACCATTTACCGATAAATTGGGAATGAGAAAATTAGTTTAAGTTGCTATTATTCGAAAATTAGAGAACGAAACCTGATGGTTTTCTTTTATTATTTGTCACAATATCTTGTGGAATTCTTTCGAGTATCTCGCCTATATGAACTGTATCGTTTATTATAGTGTTGTAGGGTATTCAACGGTCGGCCCCGCTCGACCGTAGCCTTTGCTTACTTGTTTTGTTGTTATGTGAGCTCTACTAAGTACGCATAGTGGTGTAGAGTATCATATAGTCGGCCCCGCCCGACTTTTGACTTTTCCTTACTGGTTATTACTTTTCGTGCCGTTCTAGTGCGAATTTCCAAAAAAAAAAATAGCCTTATCTGATACCTTCGGGCCAAGAGTGACCCTCATCCAAAATTCCAAGATTCTAACTTCAATGACTTCCTGTCAAGTATGTAAATGTGCCTATTTTAAATTTTCACTTGACTTATTAACCTACCTCGTATTTCCACCAAGATATTGTTCTACGAATTATCTTTGAAAGGCCTTAGAGCTACTATCTTTGATTGATTTCTATGTGTTTCCAGCATTTTCTTGTCCTTTCCGGTCTTATCTCTTATTTAATTGTTTTGCGGACAATAGCAACAGTTCACGATATACCTGCATACATACATACATACGCACAGCTTAGCCATGTCCAAGATAAAAAATAAAGAGTACTTGTGTGTGCGTTTTGTAAAGGGATAAACAAACAAGTGCAAATTGTTTTGTATTTGCCTGTGGAAATGTTCGAATACATTCAAATCCACAAAAGAACCGAAACGATAGATGCCGACGACCGCCAGGCCAGTATCGGCATGATTTGTGTAATCGTGCATTGTGGGCGGTATCGCAGTGAAATTGCGGCAACCATAGACTTTTTGTTTATTTAGTTCTTTGTATGTATGCAAGATCGTCTGTCTGGTTTCTATGCAGACTTCTCCCATGGACACATTGAGATGAATTGTTTAGTTCTATATTGACTCTAGTCGCATTCACATTCAGTTGAACTTTCTCGGATACAGAGAACATTCCATAAACAAGCGAATTGAATCAAATTCCAAAACATTTCTCCGGTTTAAAAAAAAACGCAATGAAACGTCATCGTTTGAACATCAAGAATATTTCAGTGGCCGTTGTAATACTTCTGGCCATATATTTGGTATTTTCAAGTGGTTATCACGACTACAAATCGGATGGCATTATCAAAAATACCAGACCGGAAGATGTTTGGAATTATGTGGCCGATTTCAGTAAAATGAGACTTTTGAATCCATCCATGTATGTATTTGCCAAGTGTGAACAAACAGTACAACAAAAAAAAAATAATCATAAAACACAAGTGACCAGCATCAAAGCTGCAAGTTAATGGATTCTGAAATGAGTTTTCTTGTATTTTTTTGTTTTTTTCATGTTTCACTACATCCGCTCTCTGTCGACTGCTGACTGACATGTGTGCCTAGTTTGAATTTCAAAATATTATCGGATGGCGGCAATACACATGATTTTCGTTATACCGTTGAGTACACTGAACGTCTGAACCACTGGCCATATTGGCTGAATACTGCAAGAGCCAATTTCAAAGTTGTGAAATCGATGCCGAATATTGAACCACAAATTTATTCGATTGAATCTCAACACGAGACGTGTTTTTTCAAAGGCCTTTATTGCCGTAAGTATCTATCATAAGTAATTACAACAAGTAAAAAACAGCTAAGTACCAACCACCATTTGAAAGAAACTTGAAAAATTTAAAATAAACTCCGTCGGAAAATAGCGCTCAAATGAAAACCGTTGTATGCGAAGACGTGGTCCTACATAAGTAATTTGTGTCATAGGCTGTAGTAACTGTTCCGAACTTTATATACGAAATTTGAAACAATTCCAGTGAATGATGTCGCAAAAATCATGAAAATGCCGAATATATGGGGGTACCGTTATATGGGCGCTATACTAAAACTATTTAGATAATTCTCTTCTAGGGAGTAAAGTACTCAGAAGGGACCGCTTGTGTGGATTTTAAGATAATTTAATTGAAAAACTTGGCTGAAATCATCAAAATACCGAATATATGATATCGTGGACCTATATTGACAATTCTCTTCCAGGGGGTAATGTACTCACAAGGAACTTCTTTTGAGATAATTCCATTGAAAAATTTGGCTGAAATCACCAAAATACCGAATATCGGGGGGTACCGTTATATGGGTTCCGTTGAAAAATGTGGCTAAAATCACCAAAATACCGAATATCAGGGGTACCGTTATATGGGGATATACGACATCGTGGACCTATATAGACAATTCTCTTTCAGGGGGTGAAGTACTCACAAAGAACTCCTTGTGTAGTATTTCAGACAATTACAATAAAAATGTGGCTAAAATCATCAAAATTCCGAATATAGGGAGGCTATACAATATCGTGGACCGATATAGTCCATATGACCTGCCTGCAGACAAAAGACAGATCATGATTTTAACTACATCAATCACCGATTTTTTCAAGTTTCGCATTTGAATATTGTAATGGCTTTTGACAAAAATTGCCTATGCAGGTCCACGTCTTCTTATAGCCCCCATATAACGTATCTACCGATATTCGGTATTTTGACGATTTTAGAGACATGATTCACCCGAATTGTTTCAAATTTCGCACCCGATGTTATGACTAAAAATTTTGTATACAGGTCCACGTCTTCGTATAGACCTCATATAACGGTACCTCCCGATATTCGGTATTTTGATTAGTTTAGCGGCATTGTTCGATTATTTTAGCAGCAACTTCGTATTTGAAGATCTTAACTACAGTCTATAACAAAAAACTACTTATGCAGGTCAACGTCATCATATAGCCCCGGATTTTTTTTTTTAATTTTTCAAGTTCCTTTCAAATGGTGAGGGTAGTAAAAATTCGGCCCGGCCGAACTTGGCTTCTTTTTTACCTCTTTTTTTTTTTTGAAAAAGTTAAACTTTTTTCTGTGGCTACTAGAAGCGGTGAGCGATAGAACAGCCATTTCATATTCCCTGCAACATTATGTGTTGGGAGTATTATAAGTTTGATTGGGCCAAAAAGTTTGTAACACCTCAAAATATTGGTGTTAGATTCGATGTTTCTATCACGCCGGGCTGAGTCGAGATGATCGCAAAATATTAAGGGTATGACGAAAATATAATGCTTTGAAAAGTATTTTAATTTTAAACTAAGGGAACCCTTCGCCAGAGCCAATTACGGTGATGCATCTACTTCGTGAAATACCGATTCTCAATTTTTGTAGTTTTTTAGAGGTCGTAGGTGTTTAAATAAACTTTACCGTAAATTGTAGTGTTGTAGGGTATCACGCGCTCGACTGTAGCCTTTGCTTACATATTTTCATGCAGTACGGATAAAAATAAGTTTAAAGAAAATCGATCACAATTTTATGCTAATAATTGCCATTAAACATTTTAACCTTGTGTGGGGGTGGTATCAGAAAGAGTGGACCGACATATCCCCTATTTACGTTAGATCTATGGTTGATAGAAATGCTGAGATACACGATGTTTGAAGAAAATCGCTGCCTTTTTCACGTGAATAATGGTTGTAATTACTTAAAATCCTGATCACTTGTGGTGGAGGCATCAGCAGGAGTAGGCTTATGAATTCCATATTTAAATTAAAATTCTGGTTAATAAAGATATATGAAATTTGAAGACAATATCGAATACTAGAAAGTTAAAATTATTCAAAATGTTGACCCTTTGTGAGGGTGGTACATAAAGGAGTGGCCCGAAACATACCATCTCCAAACTAGATCATGTGTTGGTAAAAATCTTAGGATGTTCCTATTTTGAAAAGAATGGTATGCTCATTTCGAATTTTATTATCAACAATTTGATCCCTTGTGGGGGAGGTACCTGAAGGAATGGTCCGTTCTATCCGGTGTAGAGTTAATAGAAATATTGGGATGTGCGAAATTAAAAGACAATGGGTCTATTATTTTACATTTTATAAGAGTTATGATTATTCAAAATTGTAACCCTTGTGGGGTAGTTACTAGACGGAGTAGGTCGATATTGTCAATTTTCCCACAAATATTAGGATTTGAAAAAATTTGACAAAATCGAATAATACTTTCTCTTTCTATAAGGTAAATTGTTTTCTTTGAAAAAGGGACCGATATTGACCGAAATCAATCTGAGTTTCATAATAACGTTACGAAGTACCAAATTGGACGATATCGGACATTCCGAGAGTTATCGTGGTCAAACATAAGTGAACAGGAAATAGGTTTCCATCTCTGGTTTATGGGAATAGGTTCCCATCTCACCATGCAACAGAGAAACCGACCAGGGCCGTAGGTCAAACGCAGAATATATGATTTAAAAGTCGAGGACACCACCGAAGAAGATGATAGATAATTTCTATCTCATTCTCCCAGAGACTACTCTATTAAATATCTGTGTTATCGAGAGTGTCTTTCCTGACTAGAATAAATTTTTTAGAAACCAAAAAAGAAATTGCCCTTTTACATCAAACTACCTGCAAACTTGGTTTTTGGTTTTAAAAAATAAGCCATGTAAGAATTGCCACAAATACATGTGTAAAAAGTTGTATTGAGTTACTTTACAAAATAATAAATAAGTAAAAAAGAACTTTGAATACCCTACACCAATTGGAAGAAATTTGCAAATTTTCCAAAAAAAAAATCCATTGAAAAATACTGTTAAAATCGTAAAAATACCGAATATGAGGATTAACCGTTACATAGGGTGTGATAGCCATTTAGACCTTCAAATAATAAATTTTAAACAATTCCGGCGAATAATGTGGCAAAATACCGAATAAATTGAGGTACCGTTATATATGGGCTATATGAAGACTTGAACTTGCATAGAATATTTTCTGTCATAGGTTGTACTACACATTACGAACTTCAAATACGAAATTTGAAACAATTTCGGTGAATAATGTCGCTAAAATCATCAAAATGCCGAATATAGAAAGTTACCGTTATATGGGGGCTATTCGATGTGAATGTGAATTTTACGCTGATCCAGAATATATATACTTTGTAGGGTCTAACATGATTATTTCGAAGAGTTACAAACGGAATGACAAAGTAAATATACCTTCCATAGAATGTTGGAGGGTATAAAAATAGGTAGGTCGCTGATGATGTCCGTCTGTATGGTCATAGTACCATGGTCAAACATATGTTGCTATCATGCAAATGTAGTCTACACAGATAGAAGCGTATAAATAGTCACACGTAATCCAACAAAGTCAACAATTTCTTAGAATTCTAGATAAATCAAACATAACTAAATATAGCCAATAAAGAAAGTCTGATACCCTACACCACTTTGCATATTTAGTAGAGCTTCACATAAAAAATAAAAGTTTTTATGGGGAATTTGTGAGAATTAAATTATACCAACTATGACTATAGTTATAATTTAAAATCCAAAGGACTAAATTTGCCAAGGCATTTGTGTCTTTTCAATTCGGACTTGCATTACCTATTTGGTGCACAATTAACTTGAAATCAGATAAATATATATACAGGATGAGATGAAAAACTGCAACCATCTTCAGACTGCTGTCATTTCTAAGCCACTCGTCCGACAGCTGTTAAAATTATCCCAGTGACAAGCGTACAAAAAAGCATTTTGGTGAGAAGTTTCCAGAAAACAAGTTATTCGTGTTGGAATTCTCGAGTGATAGTGTGATTTCTTTATATTTGGCTGGAAAACCACAAGTGGCTATCGTTAGAGCACTCCAGCATTTAGATGTGAATAAATCTTTTGTGGCTTGTACCATCGCTCGTTACCGTGATGCTGGTAGCGTAGCCCGACATCATGGAAGTGGACGGAAGAAAACAGCAACATCAGCAGAAATGGTTTCAAATGTAAAGAAGCAACTTGATCGAAACCCGCGTTGCAGTGGCCGAAAATTGGCTCTTGAGCTGATCATATCACAATATTCCATTCGGCAAATATTGAAAAGCCATTGAAATAGATAGATAGAAAATAGACTCAAAAGAGCTAAAGAGTTGCTTCGCTTGGCCGAAAGTGGTGAACTGCCGAATTTAGTTTTATCCGATGAGAAAACATTCGTAGTCCAGCACTTTGCAAACAAACAAAATGATCGTATTTACTTGCCAAAGAGGTCAGCTGAAAATGTGCATCATCGGTTGGCCACCAGAACTCAAGCGCCGGCCATGGTGATGGTGTGGGCCGCCATAACAGCCAATGGTCGTTCTCCGCTTGTATTAATCGACCGTGGCATCAGAATAAATGCCGAATATTATCGCGAAAATATTCTTGAGGGTGTAAAAAAAGTAACTATGGGTCTATCTCATTTCTTTTTGCCTGTTACAAACAAATGCACAAAGACATAATACCCTGACCACCTTGTGCTGTAGGGTATAAAACGCGTTTTTGGTGGTCGATGAAATTTGCTGATACGTATCCAACACCACCATGATTTCCAAAATATGAAATTACTTCATCCTCATATTCATTAATGTTTCGTTCATTCACAATCTGCAAGTATCTGGAGTAGCCTGTATGAGAAAATTCAAAGAGCTAAAAATGTTGCATATTTTTAGGCGTTCCTATTAAAATATATAACTTTGAGAAAATATAACAGAATAGAGTCCATGCAAAATTGTCATACACATTGTCAGAAACTTAGGAATATATGTGAAATTTCAATTTTCTTTTTCATTCAGGACAACAACAATTAATGTCACATGGGTTAAGAATCATGTTCTGGTTTCAAATGTGTTCGCGTTCACAAAATTGGATGCTTATACTTGTATAAAGAATTTGAGTACTCGATATTTCATAAATTGTTGCCAGCATCTCTCATCTATCAAAAAAAAAGTCTCACACTGTATATGTGAGTTAAAAAAAACTGCAACAAAGTCAAAAGCCATAATTTTTACATTTTTATACCCATGTGTTCGGGGTATTGAAAGTTTGATTGGGCCAAAAATTATGTAACTCCTCGAAATATTGGTTTCCCACATAGGAAAGTATATATGGATCTTCCTATCTCGCCGAGCCGAGTCGATCAAGCTATGTATGTATGTCCGTCCGACCGTTTGTCCATGTTAATTTGTAATCAAGCAACAGGTCGCAATTATGGCCCGATCCTCACGAAATTGAAAATGAAGTTGGGGTTAGTGTCAGGATAGAACCCTATCCTTTATTTGCAGTTGCTCTATAAGCCACAATTATGAACCAATCGAAGCGGAAATTTACATGGAGTTAGAGTTTACGACTGGCCAGAAGCTTTTCAATTTGGAATCAGAAAATTTCCACTAAACCGTGAATATTTTTAATCCGATCCAAATCACAAATACATTCAAAAGTCACTTCTGACCATTAAGTGATGCTGATAAGCAAGAAATCAGATATATAGCAAAATAGGTACAATATATATGTAAAAGAATATATCGTATTTTTTTCTGCTGGACCGATTTTCACAATTCCCATCAATTCGGAATAGTATCTTGCCAGAAACGGATAACATCTAAGAAAATCACGGAAAATATACCAATAAAAAATTAAATATCTTTTGTTCCAATTTTTGCCATTTTTGTCATATTTTTTATCGCATGGGTTTGGACATATGGGGACTTCGACCAAATTGTACGACTATAGCCTCTGCTTACTTGTTTTTTTTTTTTTCAAATGTTATTGAATGAAGCAAAAAAATGTCGGAAATAGCATCAAATTTTAGAAAAGGTTTAGATTTGTTCCAATCGGTCACCTTTGGCACGAATTATGGCCTTCAAACGGTCAATGCAACAGTCATACGCTGCCCGAATGTTGATCAGCTGTATTTTGGTCCATTCCCTGCGAGGCGCTTGCTCGAGGTGATCGACACTTTGGTATTTTTTAGTGCCAACCTTGCTTTCCAAAATACTCCAGACACAATAGTCCGACGGATTGGTATCCGGAGATTTTGGTGGGCATTGTGCGCTGGCAATGAAGCGAGGAAGCACATTTTGTAACCATACTTGGGTGGCGCGTGCTGAGTGCAATGGTGCTGAGTACTGTTGGAATGTCCAAGGTCTGCGGCCAAAATGATTGCGTGCCCGCCCAAGGCTTAAATACAACCTCCAGAATATTTTCGCGATTATTCTGATGCCACGGTTGATTAATACGAGCGGAGAGCGACCATCGGCTCTTATGGCGGCCCATACACACAAATGCTGGAGTGCTCTAACGATAACCACTTGTGGTTTTCCAGCCAAATATAAAGAAGTCACACTATCACACACACGCTTGAATTCCATCACGAATAACTTTTTTTCTGGAAAATTCTTATCAAAATGCTTTAGTACATTGGTAAACAATATAATAAGCTGTCACTGGAATAATTTTAACAGCTGTCGGACGAGTGGCTTAGAAATGACAGCAGTCTGTAGTTGTTTGCAGTTTTCTCATCACACCCTGTATTTAGCTTTAAAATGGACCACAACTTTCGTGTGAAATAGTTTTGAATACCTAACAACAAGACGAAATGCCCCCGATCAAAAACCTATGGCTAATATCTGGGCAGTGCTCTATGACATTATTTCAAAAACAAAATCTTCCAAAATGTATTTGGACAAAAGAGGGCTTCCAACATATTGTAGTGTTGTAGGGTATCACATGGCCGGCCCCGCACGACTATAGCCTTTGCTTACTTGTTTTTCTTGTCGCCTTGTCCTCTTGGTTGCCGAAAAATGCATATCATAAGGCCAATCTTCATAATTTTATATTCATATTTTTCTTGACGTTGTCTAGATTTCGTACCATATTTTAATATATTTTTGGAGGTGGATATAAGAGCCACAATACTTTTGGAAGTTATATCATGGCACGATACAACCCCATGCATGTGGTGTAATATTTTTTTTTTTTTTTTTTTTTTGTTTGAACTTGTTTTAATATATAAACCTCATCTCATTAATTGCCTTTATAAATAATTATAACCCCCTTTTCTTTCACAGTTCATGCGGATAGTGAAGCCAGTTTCGTGGCACGTGATAACGATACTTACTGCACGGAAAAAATACGTTACGAATGTCCGCCTTTCTTAGGAGCAGCCTGCAAACGAGAACTGGAATTTCAACGGAAGGCAGTTATTCATAATTTGACAGTTATATTCAACCGAAAACATTAAAGTCGCTTGGTATTTTTTTTTTTTTTTTGATATTTTTATAGATTTATTTAAATTCAACCAAATAGTAACTCTAAAACATTCTAAAAACTAGGTTTGTTGTATTAATTTCAAAAGTGAACGAACTTAATAGTTAGATATGTATTAGAATAGAATTATATACTACAATATAGTATTAAAAGAAAGAAAAAAAGAATAAAAACAGCGACATATATAACAACATTTTGCTTTTGGAAATGTAGTCACATTGTGTTTGTTTAAATTATATACTTAATATGTAATAATAAAATTTGTATATGTTTTGTTAATAAATTTATGAAATTTGTGTTTTCTTTTTAACTCTAATAAAATGAAAGAACGAAAAAGTAATGCGAAGACATGTGTGATTGTTTTAATAAAATGCAAATTTTGCTAAAAACAATTAATTTAAGAATAAAAACAAATTGCTAAAAATATAATTAATTTATTTTAAAGCATTCCAATTGAGCAAATTATTTGCTTTTCAAAATATATTTAACTTTTTATACATTCAACAATTTGTGGACTATTTTACAATTTATTTATTTTTATTTCAAATTTTTGTATGTTTCAAACACGTTCTTTTCGACTTATATTACAAATACAGTAGAATATCTCTGATCTGAACAAAACCCTAAAGAAATGTATATTCTGAAATATATATCCTTTGGTCTGTTCCAGAACTGCAAGAATGTTAACGTTTTTACTATGATTTTCCGATTTTTCCTTTTTGATATCGAAGAAAATTGCAAAACTAGTAAATTCTTGCATGTTCTGGAACAAAGCACTTTCCAGCTGCTCAATTCTCGTTCTATAAAGATGTGAAATGAAATCTTGTATTAAGAAAAGAAATGTCAAATGAACAATTTTATAAAGGAAATAATTTTCATTTCTTTTGTTTATAGAGCAAGAATCCAGAAACCGGAACACATTTAAATTAATAGTTACCCATATTTTTATGTGAACATTTTATTGGATTGCTTGAATCCGTAATAATTCACGCATCATTGCCTATATTCATTTAATAACAAAAAATTCAGCCCCAGACTTTACAACGTTCCACAAATCAAGTTAAACATTTCTACTGTTCGTTCAATACGATTTTTTTCAAAAAAATACGGAGTTAAAAACGAAAAATAACATTCATACAGTAATGATGTAAAACAGGAATTTGATGCAATACAAATAAAAATTTAATTAAAATCTTTAAAATCACTTCTATCCATTTTAATATGAATGGTACTTGATTCGATGTAAATAATTGCGTTGAAGTTCATAAAGTTCTCTTGGTATAGAATTTGTAATAAAACACTTTTATAGGACATAGGCCTTAGTCGGTCCCTTCGAATTCATGACAATATATAGGAGTTAGGAGTTTGGTGTATTAATAATTCAAATTTTCCTACTCTGTTTTAGGAATATTTATAGCCGAAAACTAGAAGAGAACAAACGTGGGAGGAACCAGTGCGAAATGACACTTCATGTCGGTCTAATATATCAGTGATGTGTATGCTTTAGGTAAATTGCCAAATGGAAACCCTTTTGGAAATATTTGATTATCAATGCAGGATGCAGTCATTGTCATTGAGTTATTTGTCATCTTCAAATAATCAAATGATTCTGATTGATGCTATGCTAAAAAATGGCAAATATTAATAGTGTTCCTTGTATACTTTTTCTGAAAGTATTAAAACAAACTTAAATCTCTGCAATAAATATTTAATATTTTCCGACCTCACAGACTCATCCATTTGAAGATTTCCAAAAAATATTTTTTTATCGATATTAATTTTAATTGTATTTTTCCCAAATTGTTTTTTGAAGTATACTCCATTTATTTAATTTATTGTTAAATTTCGTAATTGTATTTATTTATCCATGTTGGAATTTGTACTTGAATTCATTTTGGTGTTTTTTTTTTTTTTTTTTTTTTTTGATTGGTTATGAAGAAATGAAATTAAAAGAAAGATGTAAATGATTTGCATTTAATTTGTACTAGGATTGAATTCTCTCTCAAATATATATGATTTCTAGAGCTAAAATTAAAAGACTGATAAAGCATTTAATTGAATTAAAATAACTAAAATGCATTACTTTCGAAAAAGTAATAGAAACACATATATTAAAAAAATTAATAATTATAATTGCTTCTCAGTCACTGTCATTTGTTACCTGGGTCAAGTCTAAACGACGTCTTCTTTTACTCGATTGCTTTGTAACTGCGGACGAAGTTAGACTTTTAGAAACCTGCGTTTGTATTTCTCTGTCTTGATTGGCATTTGTGGTAAACCATTTCGTTAATTTTGTTGCTTGGGTCGTGGTGGGACATCTTTGCTTGGGTGATTTCTTTAAATTCGCATATTGTGTGTTGGTCAATTGTTGTGCATTGGGTTGTTGTTGTTGTTGGGGTTTTTTACTCGGAGTACCAGCCTCTGAGTTATTGCCACTATCCTCCTGAGAACTTGTAACATTTTGTGTTAGACCTCCCTGAAAATATTTGGTGATTTTATTATGCTGGGGTTGTGGTTTTTGTGTGTGATGCACTGGCGAGATTTCTCCATTTGAATGTAGACGCAAAACACTACCGAATGTACCATTGTTTGTTATTTCAAATATCTCATCTTCATTTACAGAAGATGGCGCCAGGGAACGTATACGCTTTTCCTGTTGGGCCTTGGCTTCGGCAATAGCTTCTATCGGATGATGCGGTACTATGGGCACTTGTACTCTTGTTTTTTGTGCGTTATTTCTCAATGGCTGTGTATTGCTACTCTTTGCAGTCTTGGCCGTGGCAGACAAATCGCCGGCTTCCTTATCGCTGACTTTTGTTTTTTGCTTTTTATTCGGAGGCTCAAACATATTTTCCAAGATGTCCAAACAACTTCGATCTCTCTGTGACTTCTTCCCCTTGCTGGCATTTTGTGTCTTTGATGTAGCATAATGTTGTTGTAACTGCTTGACTTCAGACCCAAAGATTTTGAAACCTTCGAAGGGTGCGCTAGGCTCTTCATTAATATTGGCATTTTGGGAACATGGCATTGGAGTCAAATCTGAACAATTACTAAAGAGATCAGGAGATTTGGCACTTGCACGTGTGTTTTGTTGTCCCAATAGTTGTGAAAATGTGGGCACTTGACTAGCCACCTCCTCGGGTTTATTTCGTGTTTTCCTTGGCTTGAGGGCTCTTGTGCGACGACTGGTAGCAGTTGATTGCAGCGAAGAGAGCTGTTCGTTTTCTTCGGATTCCGACAGAACAATAACGTCGCTCTTATTGGCCTTGGTTGTACTTGATGTTGAAGTTGGTGGAACAAATACAACCTCTGAATCGCCAAAGAAACTATTAATTGATGAAGGAATTAGAGAATTTCTTGCAGGAACTGGCGGTACAAGAAAAGATGTAGATGTGGATTTCCTTTGGCTATTACTTTCTGAAGCACCAACACTACTTAGACGCTGAGCACATTGCAAAGGATCAAAGTCTTGTGAGCACGTCATCGAAATAATGGGCGCTTGTGTATCGACAATATCATTTTCATTGGACTTGGTGCTCTTCGCCTGGGCATTTGATTTTTGCCCATTAGTCTTATTTTCCTGCTTATCGTGGGATGTCTTTTTAGCTTTGGGTTTTTCATTGTGAAACAATGCATTTTTTGCAGAAAGTCTGCTGGGACAACCAGCCGACCTTGTTGAACGTTTTGCACTGCGTGTATCTCTGGTGTAGATAACGACCCGATCAATATCAAGTTCTCTTTTTATACGTTCCAAAGTTGCTGTCATCTCCTTTGTTGTCGGTCGTTTTATAGACGACGTCGATGATGTTGTTTTTGGTGGATTATCTTCTGGTTCAGTTTTAATAACGACATTGGGATCAATTGTGGTGGATTTTTTAGTTGATTCAGTAGAACTACTGTTTCGCGTGGTGAGACTTTTCTTGGCTTTGTTCGTGGCAGGAGAGGTTGCTGTTTCTGATGTAAGATCAATTTTTCTTATCGATCTGGATGTGCGTGGTGTCAAATCATTCGATTTTTTATTACTTTCAGACGAATTGTCAGGACATTTATCCTTATCATTTGTTCCGCGCTCTATCGAAGAAGTTTCATTTCTTTTGTTTTCTTTATCTGTGCTTGTCTTTGAAGAACTGTCTCTTTTCTTTTCATTTGACGTATCTCTTGGTGATGATTTTTTGTTTGTTTCACTAGAACTTCTAGACCCTTGTTTGGGAGTAGTCACCTCCTCCACTTCATTTTTACGCCTTCTACTACTATTTATGCAACGATTATCATCGGCATGACGAGTCCTCCGCTTCGGTGTAGTTTCGTTTTGAAATTTCAGATTTGTTGCAACATCTGCTTTCAATCTGTCGATTTCATTGCGCACACATTTATACTTTCTTGTCGTTTTATTTGATGTTTTATCACTCGATGTCTTTTCTTTTTCGTTGTTCTCGTTACTTGCGTTAGACGTTTCATTATTTTTCCCGTTTTCATCGTCGTCTGTGGATAGGTCAACAATATTCGCTTCATCGCCAGGATCATTGCAAATTTCTGGAACATCTTCAGTATCCTCAGAGTCAGAGACCAGCAGCAAAGGTGACATCAAAACTGCCTCATCAGAATTTTCTCTTGTTGTAGGTGGTTTATCGTGCACTACAGGCGGTGGAGGTGAGTAATTAATGAAAGCCACTTCGTCATCAACATCACAAACTGATTCCAATTCCTTTTCTTTCAGCTGATTTTGTTGTTCTTGCAATTTTGCTTGCTCTTTCTTTTTTTGCTCTAATTTTTGCTTTTGAATTTCCTGTTGTTTTCGCCTCTGTCGACAATACTCCTCGAATAATTCCTGGGTATCCCGTACTCTATCATCTTGACGATTTTGAGACGATATCTCTACACTACTGTTTTCAGAATTCGTGGCAGTTTGTTTTTCACGAAATACATCCAAATTAATTTTATAACGATCCGGTGTGACCAAAGGCAAATGTTGCTCATATTGGTGGCAGTAGCGGCGTAGACGAAAGTTTCTAAAATAAAATACAATTAAAAACGTGTCATGAGAAGAAAAATATTCATAGAAAATACTGTGGACTTTTAATTTATATTAAATTAAAAACAAAACTAATATATTACATGCATATATTTTGCCTCATATCTTGACATACTTGCAATAATCAGCTAAACGTTCTCTCTTAAGGAAATATTCTTCAAGATCCACTTTTTTGTATGTTAGCTCCTTCGCATCGGGAAGTTTGAATTTGTCTTCGAATTGTTTAAAATTTGCATAACGTGGTTCCAAACGTCCACCAAGTTTGAGAATATTATGGAGAAGTTTAAGATCGCTCTAAAAAAGATGAACAAGAACTTAAAGGTTTATATGCGTAGGTCATTTATTAGTCATTACTTACTGTTATATCTACACTTGAGATCAATATATTGATTTTCCGTTCATAGTGTTTTAACAGCATTGACATGCAGAAAGTGTTGTTTAGCATTTGCCCTCGATTGTCCAAAATAATGTAGTCAAAGTCGAATTTACTCAAATCGTCGATTGTCCTCAGCGTACTCCATTTGGCCAGATATATGTTATGTGGGGAGTCCGTAGTATCTTAAATTAAAGCAAACAAAACAGATGTGTGAGTATTATATCTTAATAAGTAAAAAGCGTCAAGTTATCGATAAAATATTAATAGTGTGATTCAAGGAAATTATATTTAAAACTTTAATTGCTAGAAAAATGTTTTCTATAGCTACCAAAAGATTACAATTTTTTCTGAGTGTACCGAGCTTCTGCAAAATTTGCGATTGTGTGTATTGTTTCGAAAAAAAAATACAAAACAAAAAATTTCAAAATCAATGATTAAAAGAAATTCACATTGTGGGCGCGCATTAAATATTTAAAAAGTTTCGCCAGGGAATCGCGTCTAATAGCTTCTGTGCTGCATCACAGTAGTTATTCACACCTGCTTTACCTCCCGGTTCTTTACATAAAATTCTTCCAGACCCAAAGAATAACAAGTAAAAAAGCTGTAAGTTTGGCCGGGCTTCGAATACGACTTTGAATACCCACCACCATATGGAACAAATTTGGCAATTTTCAAAAAAAAAAAAAAAATAAATAAATAAAAAAATAAAATCCATTTAAATTTCGGTAAAAATCTTAAAAATACCGAATGTGGCCGTTATATTAGGGTCTATTCGACGACGGGGACCTGCATAAGCAACTTTTGTCATAAGCCATTACAATATTCAAAACTTGAATAATTATTCGGTGAATAATGTAGCTAAAATCCTCAAAATACCGAATATAGAAAGGTACTATTGTATGGTGGCTATACCAAAACCTGGACCTGCACAGATAATTTTCTGTCATAGGCTGTAGTATCCATTAGGAATTTCAAACAGCAAATATGAAACAATGGCGTTGAATAATGTCGCTAAAATCATCAAAATAACGAATATAGGGAGGAACCGTTATATGGGGGCTATACGAAGACATGGACCCACATGGCCCATTTTCAATACCAAAAGTCCTGCAGACATAATATAGTTTTGAGTAAAATTTCATCAATCTACTTCATTTCATTCGGAAGCTAAAGTGATTTCCACAGACGGAAAGACGGACGGACATCGCTAAATCGACATAGAATTCTATGCTGATCAAGAATGTACTTTGTGGGGTCTAAAATGTATATTTTGAGGTGTTACAAATTGAATGACAAACTTGGAGGGTATGAAAACGAAAACTGGACACAACATGCAAATGATATGTGACACTCGCTTTTGTCGAAAATGGACCAATCGACCCATTACCCATAATTACCGAAGCAAAAGTCGTATCTTACACTGACGATGTGGTACTGCTGATTGCGGGAAAATACCTGCAATCTATCTCATATCTAATGTAAGTAGCTCTTGGCAAACTATTAAGGTGGGCAAAGATGGAGAGTGGAACGATGCGGAGGACTTCTGCACGAAATCCTAAAGTTACGAAAGTTAAGTTAATGATTAAGCAGATGAATTGGCAAAACGTAGACTGTAACACAAGGGCCGTGACTTCTAAGTGGAGTAACAACGACTCTGAGTATTGCAGGCTTTGTCAAGACGAGTAAGAAACTAAACTACTTTGTTACTGTCCAACTCTTTTCGGTGTTAGACATGGGCTCATAGGGAAGAAAATTCTTCACGATTTGTTTTCATACTCCAAAACTGACCCAGAAGTTATTCTTCATTTCATTCGTGGATTTGAAATTATTTCGTTATATTTTCTATTGAATTTTAGGTTGAACACAATGGACCAGCAGCCTCCGAGTGGAATGGTTGTTATAAGGCAACCGCGCATCCTTTAATCTAAACTATTACCATGTTTAACAGTTTAATTATAATATGAAACTGCTCGAAAGTTATGCGAAATGTTATGCGAAAGCTGTTTCCTTATCTTGAGTAAGATTTTGGTATCCGTTCTGCTCTAAAAAATACTATCAAGTAAAACCATCTTAAAACAACAGTGGGTCGTTAGAACAACTACCACAATTCACAAACAAATCAACTTTTTAAAAAATAAACAATGAATAAAGTTGTTACAAAGTTACAGAATAGTACTACTGAAATCGGACGGTGCTTACTTCTCATTATATGCACACCCATATATACATATATAATATACAAGAATACTAACGCCAATATCCAATTGACCAATTTCGTTGAAAAATGAGGTCAAAACCTGGGAAATATCTAAAACAAGGCGGTCACACTATATGGCGTTATAACAAAAGCAGAGACCGATGATTTTTTCATTTAAATGTGACATGTTCGACACTCCTGTTGGAAATTTTCTCAAAAAAATAATTTTGGTTTGAGGTTTTCACATATATGTTTGGGAACTTCTGTTTAATCTCTGATTGTGAATTGCAAACCACACATTCATTTTAGAGCAAAAAAGCCATACGATAAGACCTAAATATGTATTTAAATATTTATAGTGTTTATATTAATGGCTATCTACACTTTATACTTTGTAATTTAGTTTTTTTTTTTATGATTAAGCAGAGGGTTTTCCATACGTTTTCCACAATCTACGAATTCCAATTGGATATAATAGTTATTCTAATAAGATTCAAAATTGTTTACAGTACTAATTAATGCCTATACCTAACTAAGTATTACAATTTATAGTTGTTTATTTTTTCATTCAGATGAATCAACACAAACGTTCATGAATACGAACATTTTGTTTGAATTTCACAACAACTACCTAATATTAAAATAAAAGCCACACTTTCATTTATGTAAATCTGAATAGCGTTTGACAATGAATAATACATGTATATTATTATGGTGGTAGAATGTGAAATAAATTACGAAACTATACACTACTACAAAAAAAAAATCAAACGTTTTTTATACTCTTACCCTTGTTGTCCTTAATGACTGTAACACTGCAATTGGTCAAAACGCTGAAATGGAACTCCCATCCATGAATATAAAGATCATCATTTTGCACGACTATCAGTGATTTCTTATTGCCACAAGCAGAATCCAACAGCACAGCTACCGCGGCTTGTTTACCCAATCCACTTTCGTCGTTGTAAACACAAAATTCTCCCTTTGCCAGAAAATTATGCATGAATTGGATGGCATCGACCTGGAACTGCTTAAGATATTGCCGTACATGCCCCAGAATTTGGGCGCGGAATGATAAGCGCACCGGAACCGGCGGATGATCGGCCACAAAATGAAACATTTTGTTATTTCTACCTCCCGGGGTTGTGAGCTAGTTGCAGGTTGTGCGTATGGGGTCAATTCCTTTGCTATTCCTGTTGCTGCTATTGTATGTAGTGTAGCGAGAGATAAATGGCCACCAATATGTAAAGTAATTTTAAATAGAAAAATATCACAAACATGGAAAAAGAACCGATAAGCAAGGACGAAGGAGTGTCTAAATTTTCCTGATTAATTCGATAGGTCGTAAAAAACGGCATATGTAATTTTATTTCTTGTTTCTTCGAGGTCGTCGATGTTCCACAAGTTTCTATTTTTCTATCTTTTTGCAATTTGTCTCTTTTTGCGTTTTCTTTTTGTAATCGTATTTACAAAATTTAGTTGCTTCGGAATTTCAGTTTTTCTTGCTCACAAAATTTCGGAAGTTTTAAGCACAAGTTTTAATTTGCCGTTGATTTGCTTAATTATTATTTCGATAAAGTTTATTTAGGTCAGTCATTTGAAGCGGAGAGAAATTGAAAAATGAAAAATTAAACGTAGACGTAGCTCTTCTTTGTTACGTGTGGGTTGTTTTTGTTTTGTAGCGCTGCGTCTTTTCTCTGCTGGCGTCGCTGCTTTATTTTCTTGGTGTGACTGTTTGATTTTCTTTTTGTTCTTTTGTTGTTGTAACCGTATTTTTGGAGCTATGGTTGGTTTTTTATATTACAACGTGATAGCACATAGTTGTTGTTGTTTTTCTTTGTGGGTAGGTAGGAGGTTTCCCGCCATTTTTATTTTCTCACTGCACCCACAGTGAAATAATTACTTCACTTCTATTTCGATGCTCTTTTCAATGAATTTTGAAGGCCGTAAATTACAACAATAAATTGAATTTGCTTAATAAAATTTATTTTAATTCATTAATTTCTATATTTAATAAATAATTTAATAAAATAATATATTTTCTTAAGGCACAAAGGAGAAAAACAAAATATCAACTTTCTTCTTCTAGGGATAAAGGAGTATAAAGTCGAGACGGCTGGAATAACGGCGTTAACTACAAAAGACAATGTCTGCGCCAAGTCATCTACATGGCAGCTGTGAAAATAAATTGTGACATTTCCTACAATAGCTCTATTCCTGTACTGCAAAGGGGGCTACTGTAAAAACAATTTTGACAGTATGAACGATGGTATATTAAGGAGGTAGAACAGCTTCGTAAAACTACAGAAATACAGCCTTGAGGCTATGTCCGCTTCCTGTCAAATTTGCATGCAACAAGTAATTTTCATTTATTCAATATTTTTCCTCATTTTTAAAATCAGCTAAACAATATAAAAAATCAATGAAACGCCTTTGGAAAGTAAATGAAAAAGGCAATTTCGAAATTGTTTGGTTCAATGACATGATAGGAAACTGTTTATGATTTTGATAATGAGAAGTTGTCAAATGCATGGTAAAATTAAGAAGGAAAAATCATTTCAAAGAAAGCATATCCATTTCTGCATTTTCTGTAATTTACCTTGTCAAATTTTCCTGCATAGGAAATAGGTTCGCATAATTGATTTCTATATATACAATAGATTTGTAAATAAAAATATTGATTATGAGATGTTGTCAAATGAATAATTGTAAAAAAAAATTGTAAACATATGATTACATGGCTTTACTCATGGTACAATGAAGAGAAGGTAGGTCAACTTTGAAAAAATTGCAAGTATAGAAGTCTAACTGTTTGGCTTGTAATGTCAGAAATAGTATCAAAACAATAACAAAATCAAACAACTTGTTGCATTTATTTTGAATAAATAATTGAAAACCGCGAAAACTGAATGAAAGGTCAACACTTCTTTTCAAAACCAGGTTCTATATATCTCTAAAGGATTATTTCTCTACAAAAACTATAGATTTTGTCGATGCATACGATGAAATAAACATTTTGAAAACATCCGAATTTGAATGTTTTCTGAACAATTTTTTTTTGTTACTGAAAAGAAAACACATACATAAACAAATAAAGATGACATATTAAGCCAAGAAAATAAAAAAATTGAAATCATATGGTATCATAGCCCTACCTTGATATCATTGTACCATGGCTTTCCTTTCTTAATTTTACCAAGGGTATAGTTTAAAAAAAATTAAGCATATGGTTGCACAAGTTTACTTTGTTAATCTACCATTGCTATTATACATCATGGCATGGCACAATTTCAGAAGGTGGAACCGAGCTACAATATACATTTTTTATTTGGTACCCTTATTCTGTCAACACATATAAACATTTTGAAATTATTTATTAATTAAAAAAATAAGCATATGGTTGCACAAGTTTACCTTGTTAATCTACCATTGCTATTATACATCATGGCATGGCACAATTACAGAAGGTGGAACCAAGCTACAATATACATTTTTTATTTGGTACCCTTATTCTGTCAACACATATAAACATTTTGAAATTATTTCAAATTTGGTTGCAAAATAAATTGACACTTTCAATTTACAATTTTGGGATAAATCTGTATTTTTGATTTTAGATCTTTTATCTTTTAGATCTTGTGGAATAACTAACGTGACCATACGTCCCGCTTTGAGGTTATCTGTCCCGCTGTCCCCAGCGAGAGCAAAAATGTCCCGCTTTCGAAAATACTGGATATTAATATTGATGAAAAATACATGAGTTTTTTTTTCCCGTGAACATATAATTTATTTGCATAGTTTTTTTCAAGCAACATTAACATTAAAATTAACTCGAAAGATTTTGTAATGTGGCGTTTCCACTGCACTTGATTCGCTCTCTATTCGTTGTTTGACCCTTAACTATGAAAAAACTACCTAAACATTTTGAAATTATTTCAAATTTGGTTGCAAAATAAATTGACACTTTCAATTTACAATTTTGGGATAAATCTGTATTTTTGATTTTAGATCTTTTATCTTTTAGATCTTGTGGAATAACTAACGTGACCATACGTCCCGCTTTGAGGTTATCTGTCCCGCTGTCCCCAGCGAGAGCAAAAATGTCCCGCTTTCGAAAATACTGGATATTGATATTGATGAAAAATACATGAGTTTTTTTTTCCCGTGAACATATAATTTATTTGCATAGTTTTTTTCAAGCAACATTAACATTAAAATTAACTCGAAAGATTTTGTAATGTGGCGTTTCCACTGCACTTGATTCGCTCTCTATTCGTTGTTTGACCCTTAACTATGAAAAAACTAACTAATTCTTCACACAAAATTTCCTGAGCGAACACTCATATTTGTACGTTGTTCAAATCAAATCACTCTCAGAACAACGAAAAAATATGTCCCATCCCTAACAAATGAGAGCATTTATCGAAAAAATAAATTATGACATTTAAAAATTAAAAATAGAAAAATTTGATGAAATTTTAAAAATTTTTGGGAAGACTGAAAATTATGAATGAAAACTACAATGTTGAATGGCGTATATACATTCAAACGAAAGTAAATTTTGTTTTCTCTCTCAATCGAGGTACGCATTTTGTCCACGAGTTAAAATTTCCACAGAAAACGCAAACAAAAGAGGCAACATTTTCAAAATGTTTCTATCGGCAGAAAAAATGTTTGACAAGTGTCTCTCCAGCAGAATTTAAAAATGGAAAAACACAAAAATGTGTTCAAAATGTCAACATTTACACAAAAAGTTGAAATCGTGAATGAAAATTGTAAAATTAATGATATAATAAATCTTTGGGAGGAAAACAATAATTTCTTCTATTCATATTAGTGAGAATTTCATGTATTTTCGTATAAATTAAACAAACAAAATTTTTGAAAAAAAGGAATTATTTTACTATGAATTACGAATCGTGCCGTATGAACGGGTTAATTCGTGTACCTAATTCTGAGAGCGAACAACGTTGTTCGGTTTCCAATGGAAACATGCTATAATGCTAATGCTGGAGTTAATGTCGACGTCGTCGACGGCGTCAAATGTCAAAAAAATTGAATCGTATGAAATTTTATGAGAGCAGTTAATCTTAACGCCGTAAGCAATTCGACGCCGAAAAAGTTCAATCTGTTTAAACTTTTTCGGCGTCGTCGACGGCGTTGACATTAACTCCAGCATAACAAGGGAAATCACCAAATTAAAAATGCTTATAAAAACAGAAATAGTTTCTGTCACTCTGTCAGTACCCTAAGCATAGACGCTCTAAATTGTTCTGGTATCTTTTCATCGCGGAGTCGGAGAAGGCGAGCAAAGTCAAACAATTTATTTTCAATGTTAGTGATTGTAACATTACAATAATGCCTAAACGCAAGTGTACTTTTAACATTTCTTTGCAAAATAAGTATCCATTTATAAAACAAAGAAGTGGCGAATCAGACGTTACGTGTGAAAAATGTCGTACTGATTTTAGTGTTGGACATGGTGGTGCCAGTGATATTGAAAAGCATTTAAAATCGGAAAAACACAAGCTTTCTGATCAAGCTGCTGCTTCAAGCTCGTCAATGCTTTCTTTTTTTAAAAGAACAAATTTGGCGACTTCCAAAGACTTGGATATAGCTGCAGCGGAGGGTGCGTGGGCGTACCACACTGTGGAAGAAAACCATAGTTTTCGTTCGAATGACTGTGCTTCAAATCTAATACAAACATGTTTTGAGCAAAAATTTAGATGTGCCCGTACAAAATCACAAGCTATAGTTGTAAATGTGCTGGCACCTATGGCGATGGACGAATTGAAAGAACACCTTCACGAAGCCCACTGCATATCTTTATTAACCGATGCTTCCAATCATAGCTCAATAAAATTATTCCCTGTTTTAGTTCGCTATTTTGTACCATACGAAGGCGTGAGAGTCAGGATTTTAGAGTTTCAAAAGCAGCCAGGCGAATCATCTGATATAATTGTGGATTATTTGAAAGAAGTATTATCTTGCAATGATTTGAATAAGAAAATTGTGGCATTTTGTGCAGACAATACAAACTGCAATTTCGGAGGAAAGAATAGAAAAGGGATAAATAATGTTTACGCGAAATTGAACCTATCCGTCGGAAGGCAGCTCATTGGGATTGGGTGTGGAGCCCATATAATTCATAATGCTATCAAAACAGCCGCGGATTGTCTCCCTGTTGACTTCGAATGCATCATTGCGAAAATTTATTCATTCTTCTACATCTACAGCATTCGGGTAGAAGTTCTGAAAGAGTTCTGTGATTCCACCGACACAGAGTATCAGAAACTGCTGGGCTACAGTAAAACAAGGTGGCTTGCTTAATGCCTGCGCTTGAGAGAATTTTAAAAATGTTTCAGCCTTTGAAAACCTATTTTCTGAGCATAGATAAATGCCCTACTATTTTAAAAACGTTTTTCGAAAATCCCAGCTCTGAATTGTGGTTATATTTTTTTCACGCACAGACAGCGATTTTTCATCAAGCCGTGTTGAAAATCGAGGGACAAAACGTGTCCGCAATAGAGTCTGCGAATGAAATTAATCGTCTCCGAGATAGATTAGAACTTAAAGAGAATTCGATTTTCCTTCCTCATTCCGTCCGCAATCTACTGGTAAAATTACAAAAAACTGACGTTGCTGTTGATGAGCAGAATGTGAAAACTGCGGCAGCGGATTTTTATAAGACAAGTAAAGAATACTTGGAACAGTGGTGCCAGTTCAATGCACAACTAGCAGTATTTGAATGGTCAAATTTGCGAAAAGTCCCTACTTGGGAAGACGTACAGAATGTGACGGATTTGCTGATCACACAAAGATTTCTTAGCAGTACCAAGATACGGAGGTGTTCGATGAGTTTTCGCTTATTTCCAGTTACGTCACAGTTGAAAAAATCAAAAGCTGGAACGATGAGAATGTTGCTACTGAAGACCGTTGGGTGGAGCTGTTTAAACACTTCCGTGCTAATAATCTCAACTGCACAAACTTTCGCACAATTATTGAGTATGTTTTATGTATGCCTGGAAGTAACGCACCTGTCGAAAGATTTTTTTCCCTAATGAATAAAATATGGACAAGTGAAAAAACGCAGTTAAGTGTGACAGTTTTAAAAGCTATTTTAATTACTAAGACTAACATCAACAAACAATGTAATCAGCTCCATTTCTACTTGAAAACTAGACCCGATATTTTAAAACTAATTTGCTCTGCTGACAAATATAAAACAAATACTTAGACATAAGATTAATTTCATAAATTAGATTTATACGTATTCTCTCCGTTTTTGAATAAAATTTGTTTTTAAATGCATAATTTTTTTTTTACAAAATTCCGCATGCGTCCCGCTCTGACGAAAAATATAAATGGTCACATTAGGAATAACCACAAAATTCCATCCTAGTTTCGCGGGTTCTCCCCAATATAAGAATTAAAAAAAATAAAAATAAACAAAACCAACTGTTGCATATTTAAAAGACTATTTGACACTATAAGACTACGTTACAGAGTTGCATTTTTATAGTTTCTTTGAAGTTGAGCAACCCTTCTAATTGAACCCTGGGCGTACCCATGCAATGAAGATAGGGTATGCCATGGTACAATGAAGAGAAGGTAGGTCAACTTTGAAAAGATTGCAAGTATAGAGGTCTACCTGTTTGGCTTGTAATGTCAAAATTAGTATCAAAACAATAAAAAATCAAACAACTTGTTGCATTTATTTTAAATAAATAATTGAAAACCGCGATAACTGAATGAAAGGTCAACACTTATTTTCAAAATCATGTACTATATATCTCTAAAGGATTATTTCGCTACAAAAACTCTAGATTTTGTCGATGCATACGTTGAAATAAACATTTTGAAAACATCCGAATTTGAATATTTTCTGAACAATTTTTTTGTTATTGAAAAGAAAACGCATACATAAACAAATAAAGATGACACATTAAGCCAAGAAAATAAAAAATTTGAAATCATATGGTATCATAGCCCTACCTTGATATCATTGTACCATGGGGTAGGCTAACTTTGAAAAAAATGCAAGTATAGAGGTCTGTCTGTTTGGCTTGTAATGTCAGAATTACTATCAAAACCATGGTACAATGATATAAAGGTAGGGCTATGATACCATATGATTTCATTTTTTTTATTTTCTTGGCTTAATATGTCATCTATATTTGTTTATGTATGTGTTTTCTTTTCAATAACAAAAAATTGTTCAGAAAACATTCATATGCATCGACAAAATCTAGAGTTTTTGTAGCGAAATAATCCTTTAGAGATATGTAGTACATGATTTTGAAAAGAAGTGTTGACCTTTCATTCAGTTATCGCGGTTTTCAATTATTTATTCAAAATAAATGCAACAAGTTGTTTGATTGTTTTATTGTTTTGATACTAATTCTGACATTACAAGCCAAACAGGTAGACCTCTATACTTGCAATTTTTTCAAAGTTGACCTACCTTCTCTTCATTGTACCATGATCAAAACTATCAAAAAACCAAACAACTTGCTGCATCGAATTTGAATAAATAATTAAAAAGCATTTTGAAAACACCTGAATTTTATTATTTATTATAAAATCATATGGTATCATAGCCCTACCTGGATTTTATTGTAACATGGGCGTACCGGCAATTGCAAAAACAATTTAAAATGGATAAAAAATCCAATTTTCGTTTCATGTCAATAATGTTCAATTGTTGTTCTTCTGCATTTGTCAGATGTGTCAAAAATTGTCAAATTAGCATTCACTGTTCGTGAAATATACCTGGTAGTGACAAAAATAATCAAGGTAGTGTAAATGTGGTAATAAAATACAACTCTGTTTACCTTTCCTATAAACTAAAAATTGCCGCAAGTAAATGTGTATGTTGTAGATGTTAGAACATAATGTGATTACTCTATACAAGTAACCACGTTCTAGATCCCTTAAATGTCATTTTTAAAATGCAGCAGTTGATTATTTCAAAGGGCCAAGGCATCAGCACAATACAAACTAATGCAGATTGAAAGGAAGCGTTCATTCTAAACTTCAATAAAATTAGATTTTTTCTTATTATACTTTATGTGTAATCTCCAATAATACAATGTATACGCCAATTAAAAGACAATGCAGCAATGCCATTAATGAAATGGCTTCACCGAGAACTCCAGAAACTCCTTTGAGTTTTAGCCGCGAACTGCGACAGGTGTTGCAAGAACGTAATCTACTGACAGCAAAGACCAGGAACAAAGGTATGCTCGTCATGACATGTGTACTCTATGCCAAAAAAGCTAAATTTCTTTATTTTAAGTTTGCTCAATGTTGGCCGGAGGATCGGGACGTTCACCCATTAATTCGCCCAATACGGAAATGGACAAAAGAAAAACATTTCGTTTGCAGGCCATACATGAAATAGTAACATCCGAGAAAACATACTTACAACAACTACAATTACTTATGGACTATTTTGTAAAGCCTCTAAAGGAGCGAAAGATCATCGACGAAGCCAGCCACACCACTCTGTTCGGCCAAATAGAAATGATACACAATTTAAATGGAGAATTTCTTAGGGAACTCGAATCAGATATGGATAATGTGGCCAAAGCCTTTCTCAAAATGGCACCATTTTTCAAACTGTATTCCGTGTATGCTTTCGATTATCGTCACGCCTTACTTGTACTGCAGGAGCTAACATCGAAAAATGCGGCATTTCGTAAGTTCCTGGAAACCACAGAATTCTGCCCAGAAGTCCAACGAAAACTAAATTCATTAATGATTGCCCCAATACAGAGAGTTCCGAGGTATAAACTGCTCTTGGAGCAGGTGCTACTCTACACAAGTCCTGCAGATGCCGATTTTAAGCTACTTAAAGAATCGGTAAAGCAAATTGAAAATACCGTTTCGCATATTAATACCTGTGTGGAGGACCAAGAGGTGACCCAAATGCTAATCAATATACAAAATTCTTTGGTCAATCGAACACCAAATATTGTCAAACCATCACGCAAAGTAATTAAAGAAGGAATTCTGAACAAAGTTACACGGAATGGAAACGAAATTAAGCGTTACTGTGTCCTAACATCAGACATCTTTATGTATTGTAAAATTCTCAAGGAGCGTGCCCCAAACACTGTTGTTGAGAATTCCCTAGAATGCTGTTGCATATTTCCGCTGAAGAAATGCAAGGTCTATGAGTTGTTGCCAGGATCTTTTAAAATAACATGCCAAAGTGACGGCATTATATTTTCTTCGAATGACTTGCAACTAAGTCGAATTTGGGTAGGTTTTATACGTGATGCCATTGATTTGCACATACAATGCCGGAAGACATTGAGAAAGGAGAGTAGTAAGCGAACTCCCTTGCGAAAGAAGGATGTGAAAAGTTTTGGCGAAGATTATATGCTGAGTCCGAAACAAAAGAAATCGGTATGCATTTGTCACAAATAATTCTTAATTTAAGTTATTTATTGCAATAATTTCGTTTTCAGGAATTCGATACCATTTTTAGGAACAAAAATCTTGACTCTGAAGATGAAATGGAAAATTCGTTTACAGCTACCAATTGCTTTGGTGGCAGCAATAAACGTAAAACTGAATCGTCACATAGCTCTAAGGAGACCTCAAATTTGCCTAACAACCAATCATCCGTGGCAAAAGCAACAAAACGCAAATCATCCGAGGATCCTGACGAAGAAAATAATTCGATATTGCGAAATAAGAATGAGCATCTAATACACGCTACGAGTCCGGAAAAGAGATTATCAAAATTATATAAATTTATATCAAACGATAAAATGCGTGCCACGACGCGTGGTATATTAAAGAAAACACAATCGCGTACAGCCATTGCTCATTCTAACAACGAAACATCGTCAGGACTTAACACCCAGGAGCAGCAAGGAAATCGCCTTTCCGATAATGACCCTACCTATGGCTTTGCCAGTCGCTATTCAGATTCAAAGTCATATTTTAAAGCCCACAATGTTGATACCACTATACCAAATGCAATGGTAAAACGTGAAGATCTTCTCGGTGACGAAATTCCTATTGAGGGCGGAGGAAATTTTCGCGATATTCTTTTTCCGCTAAGAGCTAGTAATGGCAGCAATAAAAGCCATTGTGGATCACCAACAAATCTTAGAAACAATTTTACAAATATTCAAATTTCATCACCACCTCAGAAGAAACGTGTCAAATTTGATGATTCTTTGGATGCTTTATACGAACAACCAACGTTCGAATTTCAAAGGGATATGGCCCAGGGAAATTGTAAGACATCAACTTCACTTCGTGAAAAAATTTATGATTTTTTTGCTAATTTATTCTAAAAGAAAGATGATGAGGAGAGATTAATTTTATTCTTAAGAATCTCGTTTACCATTAGCTATTATTTTGTATGCAGTACTTAAATAGGGGTACACATTTTTATTAAACTGCTTATTATGTTTGCATCATATTTACAACTTAAGTATTCAAACCTTGGACATTAAGAGGATACAAATAAAAGAATTATACATGATATAAAAATAAATAATTATAAGAGAGAAAAATACGGAAATGTTTTGTGGCAACATTGGATTCGTTTATTATGAAGCACAATTAAACACTTTCTTAAAGCAGTATTAAGGGGCTATCATTGCACAATTGGGGCATATTAAAATAACTCCGGATATCTAATCTGGATAATAACTCCGATGTATGTGTGTATAATAACCCACAAACAATTATTTTTTTGTTTATTTCTATTCAGAAAATATTTTTGCGATGGAAATTGAAAAAAAAATGCATAAGAATAAAAGTAAGTTTATATGCTCAATGTTTTTCATACATGGTTTATTTATTTCATTATCTTAAATCACATGTTCACAATAAAATAAAATTCTCAATAAAGATTAAACGTGTGCAACGATTATTGTTTCAATTCTAAAACTTTTGACATAAATGCTTCTATCGTTTTCTCACAAAGATCATTTGACCATAGTCCATGCCTTTTGAAATGTGAACCTATAATAGCGGCATTAATATACTCAAAGTAATCGTTGATATTATTGACAGTCACACCAGAGCCCACTAATAGGGGAACATTAACTTTTCCTTGCAGATCTTTGAAATCTTGGGGCTTGGCTGCATCTCCGGTAGAATTGCCTAAAGGTAAAAATGCAACTGTTAGAATTAGGGAAAAAAATAATTGTATTGTTACAACACACCTGTTATTACAATTCCATCGGTTAAAAAGAATTCAGCAGCTTTGGCGGTTTCCAATAGCGTAACATCTTGAGTTATTGCATGCGAACTGTGCTTTTTCTTTAGATCAGTGAATATCAGTACATTCTCAGCGTCAATATGTTTCCTGTATCTTAAGATTTCTCCGGCACAAGCATCTGTATATCCTTCGTCTGCGACATGACCAAAAACGTAACCTTCAGCGCGTATATATTGAAGATCACATGCCTTGGCTATTGCTAATGCCTGTTTATTGCCACAGGCTAAAACCTGAACACCAAGAGGAATTTTTGATTTGTGCGAAATAACATTTCGAACTTCTTGGCATACTCTTGTCATACATGATGTTGTCTCTGGCCCAAGCTGCTGATGTTGGACATAGGGAATATCATGCATGTTTTCTATTAAAATGGAATCCTAGAAATAAAACCATTTATCAGACACACATTATATCTAAAAAGATTTCTTTCGAAACTAACAGCTAACCCAGCTAACATAGCCTGGGGGTTTCAAGCATTGGACACAAAAGAATGTATAGCATATTAGGAAATATTTGCTGTTACTACCATTTTATATTTTTGATAAATATAGGCTTCATGCTTAGCTTTGTCAATAATCTCCGACCAGTTGCCTTTGTACAGTGGAGTTCCTAAAGCAATACATGAGGGTAAATATATTATTAAAATGAATTTATTTATATTATTCACTACCGATACCTGGCAGTGGATCCACATGTATCATTCCAATTATGTTACATTTGGGGTTCTTAAATATCCGTGCGAATCGCATTGTTTTGGAGCTTGGGTGGGAAACCAAAATGAAAGACGTCCACAACGAAACGAATATAAAGGCTAAACTGGAATACCTGATAAAAAATAAGTACAAAGCAAAATCCCGCAGTATTCTGTTGTTTACGAATGAGACATAAGGAAAACGCAGTCACACTGAACACATTTTTTAAATGAGCTGCGGGACTGCTTATAGAATACAATCCACGCCGAAATGAAATGATGACTCGATTTTTAAACTAATTGTAAAGTATTACCAAAATGCCCAGGTCCATACCTAAAATTCTACCAAATGAACCTATGTTATTTATTTTAACCGTATAAGCTTTATAGTAGTTGAGAAACCACTACGAAAGCCATGCTGATGTCAGTAAGGATTGAATTTTGCGGGAAATTATCGTAGTAATTAATTATACCCTACACCATGTTACAATGATATCAAGGTAGGGCTATGATACCATATGATTTCAATTTTTTTATTTTCTTGGCTTAATATCCCAACATACCAAAAATACAATACAGCTTGAGAACAATATTATAAAAATATAATTTTCAACAATGCTTGAGAAACACTTATGTTCCACAAACATTTCTCAAGCCTGTCCCTTGTTGACAAATTAGTTTTGATTTTTTGTGAAAATTGTCAGCAAGAAATTATTTTCTTTGGCAAAAAACAAAATCACGCGAATTTAGGACCCATTTGTGGACCGAACCCTTAAGGTATGGATGAATAATAAATCCGGGAATCTTTCACATAAATTATTCCAATCCCATTTCAGATTGGAAGCATCAAAAAAGTTGCAGGAATTCAATAAATGTGTAGTCTTAGTGGAAGAGATGCAGAAGTTCAAATAAGGGAGAAGAAAGCGTCAGGGTATCAAGGCCACATGCGGCAGTGACTACTGGGATGTCCATCAAGAAAAAACGTTAAAAATGATTAAAAACTAAAAAAAAATAATATTTTATACTATTACAAAAATAAGCTTATTATAATATTATTTTTGTAAGCTTGTTCTACAATTTCAAGTATAAGCTTATAAATAAGGGTTCCGTTTCGATTATTCTATACTTGTTATACAAACATTTTTCAATGTTTTCTCAAGATTTTCTCAAGCTTAAGGCTTATGTTCATAAGCTTATTGTAATATTATTCTCAAGCCATTTTGGTATGTTGGGATGTCATCTTTATTTGTTTATGTATGTGTTTACTTTTCAATAACAAAAAAATTGTTCAGAAAATATTCAAATTCGGATGTTTTCAAAATGTTTATTTCAACGTATGCATCGACAAAATCTAGAGTTTTTGTAGCGAAATAATCCTTTAGAGATATATAGTACATAATTTTAGAAAGAAGTGTTGACCTTTCATTCAATTATTTATTCAAAATAAATGCAACAAGTTGTGTAATTTTTTATGTTTTGATACTAATTTTGACATTACAAGCCAAACAGGTAGACCTCTATACTTGCAATTTTTTCAAAGTTGACCTACCTTCTCTTCATTGTACCATGGGTATACCCTTTTTTGATATAAAATTTCACTGCAGGGCAATTTGAACATATTTTTTGCCTAATAATAGAAAAAAATTGCCGCTGTACTTAACAAAACGCCAAGGGCAATGGTTTGGAAACTTTTTTTTGCGGTTAAGGAACAGCGACACCATCTTACATAATATATTCGTATATTTCATGTTTCCTAAAATTGCAAAATGTAGTATAATTTATGTATGTATGCTGTTTGGTTTCAACTTGAAAGGGATGTTGCCTTTTTCAAGATTTTCTATAGATTGCTTGAAGTTTTGAAAGATTAGGACCAACAACTAACAACTATACATTCAGGGGAATGATGTGAAAGCATTAAAATTAAATATTCTAAGAACTATTCTTCTGCATTTTGAATTTAAAAATCAAAATTCCAAAAATGTATATTTTTTAAATTAAAATAATTTATTGAAAAATTATTATTTTGTTTACATCTATGGACATATAACTCTGATACTTGTATTATGTACAAAAAAAGTTTGTATGTGGTTGTTTTTACGATTGTTGTACAACAGCACTTGCTGTTACCTGTATTATTCTACCATGATCGTCTGATAGCAGATTTACTTTAACTGAGTAAAATTTACAAGAAATGTATAAAGACATACCTATTATTTCCCACCGGGTGACGCCGATAACACGGCTCGGCTGTGAGCTCCCGATTTTTTCTTTTTATTCTTCTCTTTCATGAACACCGGCTCTTTGTTTTCTCCCCGTATTCGTAAACAAAACCAACCGGCAAAAATATACAAAAACACAGAAAATATTTAATAATTTTTCAAATATTTTCGGTATTTGATAAAAAATGTCTTCTTTAAAATGTCCAGGTGAGTTTTTGTTTCCATTCACTTTTAGAATTGTAAGAGTGGCTTTAGAATTGAATTATATTATCAGATCAATTCTTGTAAATCGTGATGAATTATATTGATGGCGGCAATTTATTTTAATTCATCATTTAATTCATTCCATTCTGCTATTCTGTTTTTCGGCGATTTTTAACCAAAATGATTTATCCTTCATAACATTCCTATCACTTGTAGGAATGCTTTGAAGGATAAATCATTTTGGTTAAAAAATCGCCGCAAAACAACTGAAATACAACCCCCTTCCTGTCAGAACTATTCATTATTTTTTTTTTTCGAAAAAAAAGTGTCAAAAAGTTTTCAAGAATTATCTTCAGTGATACATTTTAAAAGAAAATAGTGCCGGAAAACCGAAATATTGTCACATATTTCAGCAAATGTTCTTTTCCTTTTGTAAATTCTCTGACATTTATTGTTTCAAATTAAGTTTTTTTATTTTTTATCAAATTTGTTGAACACTGCCTTTTCAATATACCTTGGATCATAGTTTTAAAAGAAAATCTAGGCCTGAGAAATAAATGAAAACAACTTGTTGCTTCTAATTTTAAATAATTCTGATAAGAAACAGTTGTAGACTAAGGTCTGTATTTCAGTTATTTTTCGAAACTGTTTTACCTCCTCCTAGTTACATGGATGCAACAAGGGAAGGTTGTTTTTCTTTCGAGTTCGCTTTCGAATCTTTATAAAAAAACAGTCTATTAATCTCATGGTTGCTATCTTTGTACCCTCCACCATAGTATGGAGGGTCAATTAAGTTTGTCATTCCGTTTGTAACACCTCGAAATATACATTTTAGACCCCACAAAGTATATATATTCTTGATCAGCATAAAATTCTCTGTCGATTTAGCGATGCCAGTTCGTCTATCCGTCTGTGGAAATCACTCTAGCTTCCGAACGAAATGAAGTAGGTTGATAAAATTTTACTCAAATGTATATTACGTCTTCAGGACTTTTGGTATTGAAAGTGTGCCATATAGGTCCACGTTTTGGTATAGCCCCCATATACGGGTACCTCCCAATATTCGGTATTTTGATGATTTTAGCTACATTATTCACCGATTTTTTTAAGTTTCGCATTTGACAATGACAAAAATAACCTATTCAGGTCCATGTCGTCTTATTGACCCTAATATAACAGCTACATTCGGCATTTTAAGGATTTTAACAGAATTTTTGACGGATTTTATTGTTTTTGAGAATTGCCAACTTCGTTCCAAATGGTGGAGGGTACTCAAAGCTCGGCCCGGCCGAACTTACACTTAGGAAAGATTTTTTGGAAGTCACAAGTTTGAGTAGGTATTTATTTTCTTTAATTTGCAGATGAAGTTATTCATTTTCCCAATCATATGAGCATTGAAATTTCATATGCCAATGCATTATCGTATTCCAAGTGCAAAAGCTATGATGCAAAACTTATGAGCCAAGGCTTTGTTTGGCATCAAATCGTTGTCCAGCACAATTCCAGATCGTTGAGCATGGAGGATAAAAATGAACTGTTAAAAGCCTTATATGAAGCAGTTGAGGGTGAAGAATTTTACCCAGTGGTTTACAGAGTGAGATCTCATAACATATCACAAAGACTAACAATTTCCCTACAAATATTTGCATTTTGTTAAATAGCGTTGCCAATATGAAGATCGTTTCCTGGTGCGTCAATGTCAACCGGCATTGGATAAGCTTTTCGAAAAAAACCTACGACTTTTAATGCCAAATGGAGACACGGTGCAACTACAAGTACAGCTCAATGTTGCCGAATTTAAATATGGACAAATATCACCCATCAATCAAATCACAAAGACTTTAAACAAACTGTACGATCACATGGATAGTTTGGATGGGGAAAAGGGAATATTGGATTTAACTCGTTTCGGACAGAATAGTGAACTATTCGATGTCATTGTGAATTTGGGCAATAGAAGTGTGCTGGAACGCATTTTCGATTTGATATATCGCAACGATGAACGTTTTCGTAATGTGACGGGTATAATATTACGTGACAATGGCATTACAACAATGTCTCCGGTTAAATTATTTGCTGGTATTGAATTTAGCGTTTTGGACTTAAGAGATAATCTGGTGAGTTATTTTTGTCAGATAATCGAGAGATACTACCTAGTTTTATGAAACTTTTAAACACTTGATTTTTACAGATTGAGTCATATATTCGTCTAAATCGTGATTTGGAAAAGATAAAAGCCAATGAAATAAAGTTAATGGGAAATCCATTGACCCAATCGCCAAATTACCCAGAATGTTTAAGGCCAATTTTGAAGAATTTTAAAATTCTTGTAAGTGATACAAGCGGTTTGCTGGTGTTGTAATATTTAATATAATAATTCGCATCTCTCTGTAGGATGGTATTCCCACGGAAAATCTCTCAAAAGATTACAGACCCATCAATACAAATGTGGATGGCCAGGCAGAAGGTTATCGCATTGATTGGTCCAACAAATCGGATGTAAACCAATTTGAAAATAGTTCTGATTGGCATGCAATAATGGTAAGAGAATCGGCGGAAAAATGAAATTTGAAATTTAAAACCATTTTATTGCAGATACCCGATCCCGAACAAACCTACACCAAAGAAGAAATATTGGATTATTTCTTTTTAACCATCTCAACTGAGTTAAGTGATATATATCCATGCTATTATAAGGTATATGTTGTTATACATCAAGTTATATAGCATTAGAACTGTTCAGAGTCTAGATAATCCCATTCTAATTCCATTCCATATGACCTATAAAAATTCGCTTAGTTGATTCTTCTGTCACTGGAGAAGTTTGTATATCAGGACTATAACTATAATAAGTCCAATTACCAAGCCAGTACGATGTGTGGAATTCTGTTTTGATAACCAAACCCTTTCAATATCATTATTCGAATTGCTTCGAATAATGGTATCTTGCGGGCAATGGTTAAGGCACTCTCCAAATCTTGATAGAATGGCTAACATATATAATGACGTTAGTTTTGAATCATATTGGCGGTCACACGTGGGTGTCAAGTTTAACCTTACACAGTCTACTTTTCATCCGGAAGTAAGGGGTCTCCAATTAAAGAAATACACAAAAATAATTTGCATCACCACGAACCGAAAAATTGTCAATCAGAAAAAGCTTTCAAATTTAAGACCAACAAGTAATATAGTATCATCAGTCGCTTTTGCCGACAGATGTATACCCCAGCCTTGAGTTATGATTATACAAATTGTTGACCCTTTATGGGGGAGGTTCCGAAGCAATTGGACAATATTGACCAATTCGTATCTGACCTTTGACTGAAAAAAATATTACAACGTGCCAGATTTGGACTATACCGACTACTTCCTATACTTTATATGAGATATGTGCAAAGTTTTGGAAAATATGCGTGAGGTAACAGATATAGCGGACCGAAGCATTTCATTTTCATAATTCATCCAATACAGTTAAAAATATATTGATATGTGGAAAATCGGACACATAAATCCAATTTTATCAGAAATCATAAATTGCTTTAAACCACACATTCTTATCAGATTTCTGGTTAAGAGAAATGTTTAAATAAAGCAAGTTGTAAAGAATCGCCGACTTGTTTCGCAAATTATTACAGATATAAGTATTGGAAATTGTGACCCTTTGTGGGTGAGGTACCAGAAGGAGTTGGCAGATATATATCATCTTCACATCTGATCTTGCGTTATCAAAAATATTTGGATGTGTGAAATTTGAAGAGAGTTGGATGCTTATTTCGCATTCGTTGAGGGTTTTGATTTTCAAAAATCTTGAACCCTATGTGGGGGAGGTACGAGAAGAAATGGTCCGATCAGTACCATTTTTATAACAGATCTTGAGTTGATGGGAATATGGAGATGTACCAAGACAGAGATGAATGGAATCGGATGTTAAGTTTGAGTTTTATGAGCTTCATGGATACTCAAAATGTTGACCAGGTACCAGAAGGAGTGGACAGATATATCCCATTTTCACACTAAACCTTGGGTTAAAAAAAATATTGAGACGCATGTAATTTTAACAAAACCAGCTTATTTCGGATCCGTTTTGGTCATTCAAAACTTCTACCTTTTGTGGGCGAGGTAACAGAAGGAATGGTCCGATCTCTACCATCTTTACAACAGAGTTTGTGTTTATAGAAATATTGAGATGTGCCAAGTCTGAAGGGAATCGGATATAAATTTCGTGTTTTATGAGCTTCATGGATATTCAAAATTTTGACCCTTTTGAGGGGGAGGTATCAGAAGGAGTGGAACGATATATTCCATCTTCACACTAGACCTTGGGTTAATAAAAAACATTGTTATGTGTCTAATTTGAAGATAATCGGACGCTTACATCACCTTTTGTAAGAGTTATAATTAATCAAAATTTTTACCCTTTGTGGGGGAGGTACTTGATGGAGTAGACTGATATTGTTCACCTGACCTAGTACTGATGCAAATATTAGGATTCGCAAAGTTGGGGCACAATCGAATTATCCTTTCTCTTTCTGTGCAGTAAATTATTTTCTTTGAAAATATTGACATTTTGTGTGGGAGGTACCAGAGGGAGTGGACCGATATTGCCCATCTATGAACTCGATCTAAGTTTGACAACAATATTACGATGGCCAAGTTTTGATCAACTCAGATACTCCCTTCCAAAATTATCGTGCGCACCAGCCAACCAGCCAGACAGACAGCCGGACGGACGGACATCGCTAGATCGACTCCAAATGTTCTGAAACATCTAAAACCGTTATTTCGATGAGGCGCGTTTTGGCCGTATTAAATGATATATACCCTCTCTAGCCATGTGGATGAGGGTCGATTAACTAAAGTCAAACGCCATAATTTTTACATTTTTTAAATTTTATTGAATGAAATGAAATTTCAGAAATAGCATCAAATTTTAGAATAAGTTTAGATTTGTTCGAATTGGTCACCTTTGGCACTAATTACGGTCTTCAAACCGCCAATGAAACCGTCATACGCTGCCCGGATGTTTCTCTGCGGTATTTTGGCTCATTCCCGGCGAAGCGCTTGCTTGAGGTGATCGAAAATGTGGTATTTTTTAGAGCCAACGAATTGGTATCCGGAGATTTTGGTGGTCATTGTGCGCTGGGAATGAAGCGAGGGACCTCATTTTGTAACCATTTTTGGGTCGCGCGTGCTGAGTCCTGTTGGTATGTCAAAACGCCAAAATGTTTGTGTGCCCAAGGCTTTAATACACCCTCCAGAATATGTTCGCGATAATATTCGGCATTTATTCTGATGCCACGGTCGATTAATACGAGTGGAAAGCGGCTATCGATCACAATGGCCGTTGCTTGAGTTCTTGTGGCCAACCGAAAGCGCACATTTTCAGCAAGTAAACACGATCATTTTGTTTGTTTACAAACCGCTGGACAACGAATGTTTTCTCATCGGAGAAAACCAAATTCGGTATTTCACCACTTTCGGCCAAGGGAGGCAACTGTTTAGCTCCTTTGAGTCTATTTTCTTTCTGTAGCGGCGTAAGTTCTTGCACATTTTAGAATTTCAATGGTTTTACCCCGAGCTCATTTTTCAATATTTGCCGAATGGAATATTGCGATATGTTCAGTTCACTAGCCATTTTTTTCGGCCACTGCGACGCGGGTTTCGATCAAGTCGCTTTTTTACTTTTCGAACCATTTCAGCTATTGTTTCAGTTTTCTTCCGTCTACTTCCTTGATGTCGGGCTACGCTACAGTATCACGGAAACGAGCGATGATACGAGACACAAAAGATTCATTCACATTTAAATGCTGGAGTGCTCTAACTATAGCCACCTGGTTTTCCAGCCAAATATAAAGAAATCACATTATCACGCTTGAATTCCATCACGAATAACTTTTTTTCTGTAAAATTCTCAACAAAATGCTTTTGTACACTTGTAAGCAATATAATGAGCTGTCAATGGAATAATTTTAACAACTGTCGGATAAGTGGCTTTGAAATGACAGCAGTCTGAAGTTGGTTGTAATTTTTTCAGCTCACCCTTTCAGACTTGTTTGACTCCCTGATCACTAAATGTAATGCCTTACATGTCGCAGATCTTGTACCCCGTGTCTTTTCACTAAATTTAACTTTCCAAATATGTAAAAGCACAGAGCATATATACTCTTTGATGAGCTGGTGTTTAAGATAATGCTATACTAGAACAATGAGCTGTTCAAAATACCGAATTTCTATTTTGGCTAGGACGTTTGCCTCTTAAATACAATTTTTGCCTCTGTTAAATACAATTTTAGAGCAAAGTTTACAAATCTTTTTGGATAATAATTAACATTTATCCTTTTACACTGATCGTTTAGTACACAGCAGGCGAGCATCAGTTTCTGGTACGTCAGTGCTTCGATCAAATCAAATATTTGGTAGAAAACTGTAATCTTGAAATAAAAATACCACGTTTTGTGGCGCCACCACCTCCAACCGAATCCACTACAGATTACTCGCCGCAATTGGTTATGGACACAACGATTGTCTATTATGTACGCATGAATATAAGTCCATTCCGTAAGGGGCAAATCGAACCAATGGAGTGCATCGAAAAGGCTCTTAATCGTTGTTTTAGTGCCATGGATAAAATGTTAAATTTGAATAATTTTCAAAACACAGAAGGTTAGAATCCCCAATTTGTTATTTATTTTAAAATAATGTAATATTTGCTTTCAATTTTTGTACAAGGTTTGGAAAATATCGTGATAAATTTAAGCTCCACAAAGATTTTATCGCGCGTATTGATGCAAGCATCGCGGAAATTCCTATCCGCATGCCATGAAATACGTTTGGCCCACAACAAAATCGTCAACATGAATTTTCCTAAAATTCTTGCACTGATGGGTAATTTAAAGGCCCTGGATTTGGGCAATAATTGGATACATTCTTTGGATGATGTCAAGGGACTTGCTGTATTGGGAATAACGTCATTGCGTTTGGATGGAAATCCCTTGTGTAACGAATATTCTTTCGCTGGTGAATATATAAAGGCTGTTAAGAAACATTTTACTGATCTGACAAAGTTGGTAAGTCCCTAAAGTGCTTAGGAATGATCATCTGACAACAATTTCCATAATTTAGGATGGCATTGGCATAACTGGCAAAGACAATTTAACATCTCCGAAAAATTTCTTATGTGATGTGGCTGGCTATGATTTTGTTGAAGAATTCGTAACACGTTACTTTAGCACATTTGAAAGTGACAGAGCTGGACTCCAAGGTCTGTGCGCAGAAATTTACTTTAAAAGTTAAAAGTTAAAATTTACATATTTTCTGTTTTCAGATTTATATCATAGAAAGGCAATATTATCATTATCGTGTAATTTTAATTTACCAAAAGCTACTCCCCAAACTGTGAAACGGATTTCCCAGTATACTCAATTTTCTCGAAATCTCTCAGTCCGTGTCGAGACGGATCAAATATGTTCCTCGACTTATGTGGGCCCCAAAGAAATAATCCGAGTATTTATGAATCTACCTCTCGTTACCTACGATATGCTGAGTTTTTGTACGGACTGTACGGTGTTTGAGGTATGTAACCAACATTCATTTTTATACCCATACCCACACCATAGTATGTAGGGTATATTAAGTTTGTCATTCCGTTTGTAACAACTCGAAATATACATTTTAGAACCAACAAGGTGTATATATACTTGATCAGCATAAAATTCTATGTTAATTTAACGATGACCGTTTGTCAGTCCATCTGTGGAAACAACTAGATTCCAAACGAATTGATGTAAATTGATAAAATTTTACTCAAATGTGTATCAGGTCTGGTATAAAAAATGGGCTATATAGGTCCACGTTTAGGTATAGCTCCCATATAACTGTACCTCCCGATATTCGGTATTTTGATGATTTTAGCGACATTATTGAATTGTTTCAAATTTGGTATTTGAAGTTCGTAATGGACAAAAAATTGTCTGTGAAGATGAAAAATTGTCTGTGCAGATGCACGTACAGTCCCATATAATAGTACCTCCCTATATGCGGTATTTTGAAGATTTTGATGATGCAGGTCGACGTCGTCGTATAGACCCTACTATAAAGGCTACATTCGATATTTTAAAGATTCTAACAGAATTTTTAACGGATTTAATTTTTTTGAATGTTGCCAAATACGTTCCAAGTGGTGGAGGGTATATAGCGTTTTTAATTTTTCGTTTATAAAGTGTCCTTTCTGCTTCTTTATAAAGACTCCGTTCTGTCTGCCTTTAAACACTGCAAACAACTCATTATACAATGTCAGACCCACCATTGAATGATAATTTAATAGAAAAAGGAAAACTAGTAAATTAACGAACAACTAAGAAGCCGAGTCTTGGAGGGGCCGACTATATGGTACCCTACACCACAATGCATATTTAATAGAAGTAGATCATACCACCTATCAACAGTTGGCTTTAGAGCAGTTATAGTTGGGTTTCAGAGGCAATTAATATATGGGAGGCATATCCAATTCTGAATCGATTTTCACTAAATTTGACAGAGACATTTTAATCTTTAATACCAAATAACATTGCTATAGAGTGCATGATATCACTTCGAGAAGGTTTATATATAAAAATATGTATCGTAGCCGAGTTCTAACAAATGGAAACGTACCTCCCGAAATTCACTCCATTTGGGCTGACATTTGCCATTATTTGCACAATAAACCTGAATATTTCAGAGCTGTATCTGATATCTGGTACCAAAGATCATTATTGTGGAATGCATATTACGCGTGTGAGGGACTTTAAACTCTAAATCAGATAAAACATATATATGGGAGCTATAGATATATCTAAACCGATTTACACCAAAGTACTGGTTTCTAGGATGAATTCAGTAATAATTGCCAAAATTCAGTCCATTTGGGGTGATATTAGCCATTTGGTGCACAATAAGTCTGATATCGGATAAAGATATATATGGGAGCTATATCCAAATCTGAAGCGATATCGATAGACTTTGACGGAGGTATTTTCAAGCAGTATCTGATGTCCAGTACTAAATATGATTCTTGTGGAGTGCATATTACGCATGAGAGGGACTTAAAACCCGAAATCGGATTAAACATATATTTGGGAGTTATAGCTTAATCTGAACAATTAACCCGAAATCGGTTGAAGATATATGGGAGCTATAACTAAATCTGATCCGATTATCACCAATTTTAATAGGGTTCGCCCTTGGGCCAAACAAGTATTGTTTGGAAAAATTTATCTCAATATAACAATAAATGCGACCTGCATTTTGTCCACAAGAATACATGAACAGACGGACGGACATAAAGTGTTTCTATGAAGATCCTCAAAAGTAACTATGTGTTTATCTCCCTTCCTTCTCCCTGTTATAAACAAATGCACAAAGACATAATACCCTTACCACCATAAATTCTAATTAATAACCAAATACATTAATTTAAACTTCTTCTTTAACATCCTGCGGCTGATAATATCACGTAAGAATCAGTGATCCCAGCTGATACCGACCAGTTCTCAAGTAGAATATGTCTTCACCAAAATATACTTAATGGCCGCTTTATTTGTTCTTTAATGGCCGCTTATATTTTGTATATTAATGTATATGTACATTAATTTAAAACTTTCTGCTCGTCAACAAATACCTCCTTTTGCCCGCCTATAAAAACTCTACCTTTTTCTAGATTTTTTTTTTATGAAGAGTACGTGTTTTTGTCGTGACCTTTTGTGGTCCAATGTTACCGAAGTTAATAAATTATTATTTGACGACATGAATGCGTGCAGTACATGATCGTTTTATTTTTGTACAGATTTTATGAAATTAAACACATTTTTTTGCTCCTTAGGAAAAAAGGGTTGTAATAACAATCAGCGGGGTATTTTTGGATCAGGCCCCTAGCATTGTGGAAACAGATATTTTAATGGCGTTTTCAAGGACATTTGTTTTAAAGCCGACAAAACGCAAAACAGTAAGTATATTCAATTAAACAGTAAGCCCTCTAAGAAAATTGTTTTTTTTACCACTTTAGGGATCTCTTAAATGTGCCACCTTATACAAGATTATCAATGATATATATAGTATAACAAATCCAACACCAAATCAAACGAAAATCGCGTTTAAATATTTTAAAAATATTCAATCGGCAAAAAAAGATGAGATAACCGTTGCCGATAAAGAAGCCCTTTTGGTAATGTTTCAAGAGGCCACTGCTCTTAAGTCCATATGGTGTACAAGGTAATCAAAACACAATTGATAATGATTACAACAATTGCCTTCACTGTCAATTACTGATAGTTAATATCGTGTTTTTATAACCTTGGTATATATATTTTTATGTTTTATCTATCTTTACTCTACAGATGTTTGGAAGAAGCTAATTGGAACTTTACCCAAGCCTTGGAGGTATTTGTTAAATTATGTGAAAAGAAAGAAGTACCAGATGCTGCATTTAAGTAAATTTACGGTTACAAAACCAAAATAATGCCGATAGAGTTGTTAAAAACAATAAAATTTGTTATAAAACGCCGAAGTAATTTTCAGATATTTTCTACATTTTACAATAAAATAACATCTTTCTAAAACAAGGAGAAACGCATAAAATTGTACTTCTTTATAGTGCAGTAACTTTGAAAACTAACACAAAATGTGCGATAACTTGATACAAACATCACATTGTTTTTCCTAATAACGTCATAATTAGTTGAATTATCTGGAATATTGCCTTATCTTTTTATACCCTCCACCATACTAAGGAGGGTATATTAATTTTGTCATTCCGTTTGTAACTCCTCGAAATACTCATGTCAGACCCAACAAAGTATATATATTCTTGATCAGCGTAAAATTCTAAGACGATTTAGCCATGTCCGTCTGTCTGTCTGTGTGTCTGTCTGTCTGTCTGTCTGTCCGTCTGTCTGTCTGTCTGTTGTAATCACGCTATCTTTCGAACAAATTGAGATAGAAGGCTAAAATTTTGCACACATGTATATTTTGCCTGTAGGCAGGTTAAGTTCGTAAATGGGCCATGTAGGTCCAAGTTATCATATAGCCCCCATATAACTGTACCTCCCGATATTCAGTATTTTTATGATTTTAGCGACATTATTCGCCGGAATTGTTTCAAATTTGGCATTTGAAGTTCGTAATGAATACTACAGCCTAAAACAGAAAATTATCTGTGCAGGTCCATGTCTTCGTGTAGCCCCCATATAACGGTACCCCCCGATATTCGGTATTTTTATGATTTTTGCGACATTGTTTACCGGAATCGTTTCAAATTTGGTATTTGAACTTCGTAATGGATACTACATCCTAAGTCAAAAAATGAGCCATGTAGGTCCACTTCTTCATATAGCCCCCATATACCGTACCCCCCGATGTTCGGTATTTTGATGATTTTAGCGACATTATTTACCGGGATTGTTTCAAATTTCGCATGTGAATTTCGGAATAGATACTTCAGCCCATGCCAGAAAATTGTCTGTGCAGGTCCATGTCTTCGTATAGCCCCCATATAACGGTACCCCCCATATTGCGTATTTTAATGATATTAGCTAGATTATAAACAGATTTTTCTTCAAGTTTCGCATTTAAATAGTGTAATAACTTATGACAAAAGTTGCCTATGCTGGCCCACGTCGTCGTATAAGCATTCGGTATTCTTAAGATTTTAACAGAATTTTTAACGGATTTTATTTATTCGAAAATGCCAAATTTGTACCAAATGGTGGAGGGTATTAAAAGTTCGGCCCGGCCGAACTTACAGCTTTTTTACTTGTTTTGTCATATTATTTTAAAAGTGACAGTTCCAGGAATTTGTTTTGATTAAGTTAAATACAAAGAGATTGCCCCGAACTGATTGAATGTCAATTCAGTACTATCTTAACTGATTGAAGTCTCAATAAATCATTTCCACCAGTTTTACTTTTTGGTGTCGACTTGTGTTCCTTGATCGACGACATTTTCAATTAATTATGTAATGAGTAAAGACAGACAGAAGTATAAAAGACAGGGTTGTGTGTTGTTATGAAATCATAACAACATACATGCCATTGTTAAGGGATTTTGACAGTAAATTCAATATTCAGTTAATAAATGAAATGGATTGAATATTTTACTATTAATACTGCCCTCCACCATAGTACGCAGGGTATATTAAGATTGTCAAAATTCGAAATATCCATTTTGGACCATACAAAGAATATATATATCAGCAGCATAAAATTCTATTTCGATTTACCTATGTCTGAATTTGGAATTCACTATAACTTCTGAGCAAAATGAAGTATGCGAATAACATTTTGCTCAAATGTATATTAGGTCCGTTGATTTTTCATGTTGGAAATATGATATTTTTCCATAATTTTCTCTCTTCTTTACTCTTTTAAAATATTGGCCTCTTGAGGGTCCGTCTATGGCAATAGACACTCAGTCCAATTCTAGTGACTTGGGTGTTAATAAAATCAGGGGATATGAGGCTGAAGGTGCACATTTTCAGCTGACCTCTTTGGCAAGTGAACACGATCATTTTGTTTCTTTACAAACTGCTGGTCAACGAATGTTTTCTCATCGGAGAAAACCAAATTCGGCAGTTCACCACTTTCGGCCAAGCGAAGCGACTCTTTAGCTCTTTTGAGTCTATTTTCTTTCTGTTGCGGTGTAAGTTCTTGCACATTTTGGAATTTCAATGGTTTTACCCTCAGCTCATATTTCAATATTTGTCGAATGGAATATTGCGATATGTTCTGCTCACGAGCCATTTTTCGGCCACTGCGACGCGGGTTTCGATCAAGTCGCTTTTTTACTTTTCGAACCATTTCTGCTGATGTTGCTATTTTCTTCCGTCCACTTCCTTGACGTCAGGCTACGCTACCAGTATCACGGCAACGAGCGATGGTATGAGACACAAAAGATTTATTCACATTTAATGCTGGAGTGCTTTAACGATAGCCACTTGTGGTTTTCCAGCCAAATATAAAGAAATCACACTACCACGCTTGAATTCCATGACGAATAACTTTTTTTATGGAACATTCTCACCAAAATGCTTTTGTACGCTTGTAAACAAGCTGTGGCTGGAATAATTTTAATATCCGCCGGCGGAGTGGCTTGGAAATGACAGCAGTCTAAAGTTGGTTGCAGTTTTTTCATCTCACCCTGTATGTCTTTGTCCGATTTGCATTTATTGTGTATCAATATGTTAGTCCGAATTGGTACATACGACCAAATTGAACCTAGTATCCTCCACAGCTTGGCTCGCTTGAGGATTAAAATATTCCTCGTACTTTTATCTGCAATATTACCGAATATACTTTATACCTAAAATGCACCGGTTTCGAGGAATCTTAATTCGAAATTTCCAAAAGTGTAGAAAAGAGGGAAATTTTAGGGAATCCTGGACAACCCACCCGATTACAAGCGTCATCAAGCGTCATCGTTAAAGGTGTCACGTGGCATGTCAGGAGAAAACAAAAGTTTAATTTATCGTTGAATGGAGATTGGATAATGTGAAAATGACGAGAGCCCCACAAACTGCGATTTGAGAGCAAATGTCGCATTGGTTATTCCATCGGTAAACCTGCTAGTGCCAACACCATCCTCCCATTCAAGTGAAGAAGAGCAATGTAAGCAAATATTTCTACGCTTAACAGCTCAGCGATACCTTTTTTCCGAATACTTAGTACTTAGATGGATAACAGTGCAGAAACAACGAACAAAGGAAGCATAACTAAATAGGCTCTTCAATGAAGCTTGTAACATCCCCAAAGATGTTGTCCAATAAAGCAGCAACGATTTTCCAGCAATTTTCCGCTAAAGGGAACCGCCCGTATTAAAAACTACTTAAACGCGCTTTATTTGTAAAAGTGAGCCATGTTCATTTACGGCAAGTATCAGACCATAGTCCTCAGCAACTTATAAATAAATGGAGTTGACTGGGCTCAAATTGAAGGATAAGATAGTTCAAATAATCGCAGAAGTACTCCACAATGTGTTCGATGAATTGTAACTCTGGCGATCCAACGAGGTAATTGTAGTCCTTCTGCGATTATTTGAACTTTCTTAACCTTCAATTTGTGCCCAGTCAACTCCATTTTTTTATTCGTTGCTGAGGACGATGGACTGACGTTGTAGTTCGACTGCAACAATGTTCGAAGATCCCGAAAATTACAAAAGCATGCCCAAACTATTGTGCCATATGGAGATTTTTTTGGAAGTCATAAAAATGTTAAAAAGTAATAAAATTAATAAATAAATAAAAAATAAGAAAATAAATAAATAACAAGTAAAAAAGCAGCAAAAGCAGTCGGGCCGAACTTTGAATACCCTCCACCACGTGGAACGAATTAGGAAATTTTCAAAAAAAAAAACGAAATACAATCCATTAAAAATTCTGTTAAAATTATAAATATACCGAATATCGGAAGGTGCCGATATATAGGGAATATACGATATTGTAGACCTATATAGACAAATTTATTTCTGAGGGTAAAGTACTCACAAAAAACTACTTGTGCAGAATTTCAGACAATTCCGTTGAAAAATACCGAATATCGGAAGGTGCCGTTATATGGAGGATATACGATATTGTGGACCTATATAGACAATTCTCATTCAGGGGGTAAAGTGCTCACAAAGAAATCCTTGTGTAGAATTTCAGACAATTCCGTTGAAAAATGTGACTAAAATCATGAAAATAATGAATATCGGAGGTACCGTTATAGGGGAGCTATACGATATCGTGGACCTATATTGACAATTCTCTTGCAGGGGGAACTCCTTGGGAGGAATTTCAGACAATTCCTTTGAAAAATGTGGCTAAAATCATCAAAATACCGAATAATGGGAGGAGGGTACCGTTATATGGGGGCTATACGATATCGTGGACCGATATAGCCCATCTTCGAACTTGACCTGCCTGCAGACAAAAGACAGATCTGTGCAAAATTTTAGATTCCTATCTTAATTTGTTTTGACTGTAGCGTGATTTCAATGAGTTACAAACGGAATGACGAACTTAATTTACCCTCCATACTATGTATGGTGGAGGGTATACAAATAAATTAATAGCTCAAAAAAATCTGTAAATGCATGAACTCTTTATTTGCTGTTTTAACATTATCCCATGCAAATGTTGACCGCGACTATGTCTCAAATAGTCCACAATTTAAAGCCAGATCGTCTGTATAAACATGAGCTTTTATATAGCCCTGCAAAAAAATAGGACAAAGGCGTTAAATCGGACGATCTAAACAGCCAATTACCGAACTTGCCTCTATATAGCTCCATTGTACAGGCCACATTATTTGACGAAGAGCGTCAAAATTTAGCAGAATAATTTGAATTGTGTCTAGGATGGTTGGTATTGAAAATGAGATATATCGGTCCACGTTTTGGTATAAACCCCATATGACGGTACCTCCCGATATTCGGATTTTAATTATTTTTGCCACATTTTATCATGGATTTGTCTAAAAATTGGTATTTGTTGATCATAGTGGGTTCTAGCTCCGGTGGCGAAACATTGCATGTATAGGTCCACGTTTTGGTGTAGCCCCTATATAGCGGTACCTTCCGATATTCGGTATTTTGATGATTTTTGACACATTTTCCCACGAATATGTCTAAAATTTGGTAGTAGTGGGTCAAATTGGTTCTAATGTTTCCATTACCCTTAGGTGGAGGGTATTTAAAGTTCGGCCCAACCAAACTTAATCACCCCGATTCTTAATGACAATTCCCTGGGAATTTTTTCCCTATTCCCTGTTCCCCTATTCTAAATAAAATCTCCCGGGGAATTTTTTCCCTTTTCCCTTCTCCCTTATTCTAAATGAACTTCGAAAATGGGAAACTCTTCCCCGGGAAAAATGTAGGTATTATGAATGTCAATAAAAGGGCGAATGTGATAACGAATTTTGGGAATAATTCCGCCAAAAAATTGCAAGCGAGTTGTGCCAAAAAATGTAAGTATTTAAAATTTTTCATGAAAAATGAAAAAAAAAACATTTATTTTTACTTTCAGGTCAAAAACAACAAACAAAAAGCAGTTAGACATTCTGCTTACCTCTATGCAATTACATAGCGATATTGCGCGAGGTTGGTTTAAGGGAGGAAAAGAGGAGCTAAACCGGGTATGGCGCAATTTGGAGGCGGAATTAAATGCTGCCGGGCCACCATCAAAAAGTGTTGCCGAGTGGAAGAAGGTATGTACCACAAAATTTGATTTGTACAATGCACAAATGACAAAAATGCAAAACCTTTTTCAGGTATGGGCCGATCAAAAAAAGTATGTACGGCAGAAGGCGGCACAAAACCTCAAATACTCCAGAGGAACTGGTGGAGGCCCCAACATGGAGCAGAAGTTTTCTGCAAACGAAGAGGCCATATACGATTTGGTTGGCATGAAGGAGTCAGTGGAAGGTGTGGCCATCAAGTATGGGTTAGGATCTTCCACTTCTACAATACAGAACCCAGAACGCCTTCCAAATGAAATTCTGGAGTTGCTAGAGCCAGACGGAGAGGAGGCTGAATGTCCTGCGGTGCACAGCAATGAAGACACTCCGCAAAAGCCGCCGGCGAAAAAAATTAAAATAAGTGGCCAGCATTTCAATACACAGGCATCCGCTCGCGACGTTCTATCAGAAGAGATAGACATTCAGAAACGTATGTTGGATGCAATGATTGAGCAGCAACAAATTTCAAAAAAGGTGTATCGTTCTATTGACCGCCTTTATGAAGTCAAAAAGGAAGAACTAAAAGAGCAGAAAAGGCACAATTTAATTATGGAAAAATTGCGGCTAAGAGAAGTGGAGGATAAAATTGAAAAGAACCGCCGACTCTTAGAACTGGAAGAACTGAAAAATAATCTAGAAAGTACCTGAATATATATATATACACATACACACAGACTGAAAACGTGCATATGAACGTACCTGTAAATAGTATTAGTTTTGTTTTTAGTTTTAGAATATGAATTTATGTGTTTTCTTTTTGTTTGTTTTTGAACATGAATTTTATTGAGTTTTTTTTTGGTTGTTTTTGAATTGTTTTTTAGTTTGTTTAAAATAAAATGTGATGCTATTCCTATGTGATAACTAATCCTATGTTTTATTATTTTAATTTACAAATATACATTAGGCTGTCGCAATATATATAAGTGATTGATTGCCGTTTATTAGTGTCTGAGTCTAAATTTAGGGGAATATCTACTACAGATTATGTCCAATATTATTTCTAATATTTTGGGCAACCGACAAATACTGCTGCGTGGCCAAGGATACTACATCACTATCACTATATTGTATGCTAATACTATCAACATGTTCAACATCGTTGACGTCAGTATTGCATTTGAAATGAATGCATATATTATGCAAGGCACAGCAAACATTTGTGATTTTTGCGGCTTTTTCAGGAGAATAGTGCAACTCCCTAGCACCAAGAATGCACCTCCATCTATTTTTCAAAACGCCATTGGTGCGTTCAACTACATTGCGGCACTTTGAATGGATTTCATTGAATTTAATTTCAACTGATTCATCCTGTGGACATCTATGAGGGGTCAAAAGCCACGGTTCTAGAGAATACCCTGCATCTCCTAGTAAAAAATAAAATATTAATTTGTGAATACTTTCTGTTGTCATTCAAAACCTTACCAAGGAGCCAATATTTACTACCGCCTGTTCGATAGACTTCCTCAAGGTGGGCTCGCAACTCGCTGGTATTCCAAATGAATGAATCGTGGCACGCCCCAGGATGCGATGCATCCACGTACTGAATCCTCAACTCATGATCACACACCTGTAATTTTTGTTGTTGTTAAAAATCAATTATTGATCATTCCGATGAATATCTTGAACACAAACAATCAGCGAAACTACTTACCAGCATAACATTCAAACTATAGTAGCCCTTCCTGTTGTAATATAAGTGCTTATTGGCGGAGGGAGCAATAATGCGGACATGTGTTCCGTCAACGCATCCTATAACGCTCGGAATGCCATGCTTTATATAAAGCGCTAAAGCAATTTTACGTTTCTCCTCTTCCGTTCTGCAGAACCTTATCCATTTTGGGCAGAGATGTTTCTCAAATATATTTATGACTTCCGTGAGAACTTTGCTAAGACTACACTGGGCCACAGACACGTCGCAATCTTTTCCTATGCCTGTTTGGTACCCGCCTTCCGCAAAGAAGCGTAGAGCCGCACTTAGTTTCACAACAGGAGAAACTGCAAATGACTTACGTTTAGGTTGAATGTTGGAAGTTAACACGCCCAACAGATACTTGAATGCCGGTTTGTTTACCCTATAATATTTTTCAAATCTTTGAAAAGTAAGATTCTTGTTAATAAATAAAATTTAATAATAGTTTATTCATGTATGTACTTACAAAGATTGAGGCAACTCAAGTGGGTTGATGGCATCGCGTAACCTTCTCCTTTCTATCCTTTGCATATTTTTCTCCTGCTGCTGCACTTCAGCGTTTTCTGCATCAGCTAGCATCACAAACGCAACACTAAACATTTTTAAATTGTTTTTTTATAGTTCTTTTTTTATTTTTAATCACTTTATGCTTTTGAAGTCATAAAAATATTTGCAAATTGTTAGCCAAACAAAACAGCTGACGCAAAACAGCTGACTTCGAATAATCGAAATTCTCTCTCCCTTATTACCATTCTCCCCGTTTGTTTAGAATAGGAGGATTTTATTCCCGGGAAAAATAATCTCCCCGGGAATAATCTCCCGGGGAGTATTCAGAATCGGGCTGAATGTTTTTTATTTGTTGCGTTTATTCTGATGCCTGAAACCCGGAACAGTTGGCGAAGGATCTGTGTATAAATTTCTTACTCAGAAATTGATCATTGGTTCAGTAGTTCATCTGCAGCTCTGAATGATTACCTAAATGATCTCAGATGCCTGTATATTCACTGAAAAGAAATTGAATCTTCAACAAACATTGATCGGAGCAACTAGTGTTGTGAAAGAAAAACCGAAAACATGCAGGTCATACACAACTTTAGCCGTAATCAGGACAACCAGCCACTAAATTTCCATATCCTGCAAAAAAAAATCAATATATAACTAACTTGTGCGTTTGACGATACTATGTAATATACATATAAACAAGTAAAAAAGTATCGGTCGGTTTTGCCGACAGATGTATACCTTCAGCCCTCTTGACCCTCTGTGGGGTGGGTTTTTAAAGAATGGGTCAATATTGTCCATTTCGTATCGGACCAAAATAATTAGACTTAGATATAGCAAGTTGTAAAGAATAGCTGAGTTGTTTCACAGTTTATGACAGATAAAAGTATTGAAAATTGTGTCCCTTTGTGGTGAGGTACCAGAAGGGGTTTCGCAGATATATAGCATCTTCACAACAGATCATGTGTTAACAAAAATGTTTGTGTATGTGAAATTTGAAGAGAGTTGGATGCTTATCTCACTTTTTTTAGCGTTATGTTATGAGCAGGCAGCAAAATAAATGGTCCTATCTCCACTATCTTTATAACAGATTTTGTGTTGAAGGAAATATTGAGATGTACCATGTCTGGAATGGAATCGGATGTTGATTTCGTTTTTTATGAACTTCATGGACATTTAAAATTTTGAGAGGCACTTGACGGAGTGGAGCAAAATCGGATTATTCTTTCTGTGGAAAAAATATTTTTATTTGACAGGAGTTTGAGAAGGAGTGGACCGATATTGTCCATCTTAACACCAAACCTTGGGTTGATATAAATATTGGGATGTGTGAAATTTGAAGACAATCAGACTCCTACATCACATTTTATGAGAGTGTAATTATTCAAAATTTTGACCATTAGTGGGGGAGGTACTTGATGGAGTGGACCGACAGGTCTATTTTTACACCTGACCTAGTACTGATGCAAATATTAGGATTTGCAAAGTTGGAGCAAAATCGGATTATCCTTTCTCTTTCTGTGCAAAAAATATATTTTTTGAAAATTTCGATCTTTTGTGGGGGAGGTACCAGAAGGAGTGGACCGATATTGCCCATCTCTGAACTCGAACTAAGTTTGACAAAAATATTACGATGCTCCAAGTTTGGACCAAATCGGATACTCCCTTCGAGAGTTATCGTGCGCACCAGCCAGACAGACAGACGGATGGACGGACATCGCTAGGTCGACTCCAAATGTTCTGAAACGGATTTGGTCCAAATACACCTAGGGTCTAAAACCGTTATTTCGACTAGGCACGTTTTGACAGTATCAAATGATATATATACGATATATAAAATCTTTACATCAGATCGTGCGTTGGATGAATCTTGATGCTGATATGAGCTGCTCGAAGCTTGAAGACAATCGGTCCCTTATTTCGCATTTTATAAGAGTTATAATAATTATTCAAAATTTCGATCCTTTGTGTGGGAGGTACATGATGCAGTAGCTCCATGCCATTTTCGCACCTGACATAGCACATATACAAATATTGGGATTTGCAAAGTTTGCACAAAGTTGGATGATCTTTCTGTGTTCTATAAGGTTAATTATTTCTTGTGAAAATTTTGACTTTTTGTGGGGGATGTACCTGAAAGAGTGGACCAATATTGCCCATCTCCGAACTCTATCTAACTTTGACAATAATATTACGATGTATCAAGTTTGGACCAAATAGAGATACTCCCTTCGAGAGTTATCGTGCATCAGCTAGCCAGTCCGACCCCTAGATCGATTCGATCTATGTCCTGAAACGGACTTCGCCCAAAGAGTCCTAGGTTCTAAAACCGTTATTTCGATAAAGCACGTTTTATCGTATTAAAAGAAATTTACCCTCTGTAACCATATGGCTGAGGGTATAATAATGTTGCACTGTGTAGCCATGATCAATAGAAAATGCTGGTAAAGAGAATTGAAAACCCCATTAAAATGCTTGGAAATTCTGTTTCGATGAAGCAGGTAGTTTTTCCTTTGTCCACCTTTCATCTGTAGTCTTTTCATGTATGCATGAGAGTGCGTGAGTTAGGATTCCGTTTACAGTGCACACTATTAAGTCTAAAGCAAACTGCTTTAGATAATTAGCTAGGCTAGCTATTAGCTATCTCGCACAAAAACACACACGAATACGCACGCTAGAGAGTGAGAGTATCTCATAGATACTTACGAGAACCATGAAAAACTCATCTAATGTTTGCTTGATGTTGGCTCGGTCAGTCAGCCAGTCAGTGTAGTGGCTAGCGTATTGGCCCCAACAAAACAGTTTGCATTTAAACGTCAGAGCCAACGGTTCGTTGATTTTTTGAATCGGTGAAACGCGCGGTTGAATTTGAACAAAAGAAATAAAGTGGAAAAATAAAAAAGAAGAGTAAAAACACAAATAGTTTTTGTTTGTTTCAATATTTGCATAGCCAAATATTAACAATAAACTAATATTAAAATTGTTTTCAAATAACAAAGTAGGTGTTAAAATTTTTGAAATATTTTATTCTTCCTAACTTGTTTTATTTTTTTTATATAAATTTAAATACATAATGTGTGAGATTTTGTTATGGAAATATTCTCAAGTTGTGAGATGTTGTTTTGGCATAAAAGTGTTAAGCAGTGGTAGATAAACTTTTGTTGTTGAAACTGTTGGTTATAAGTGTCGTGAATATCTCATCAAATTTCACGGTTTGATTAATAAATTATTAAAATGAGTTTTTTGTTATATTTCTTAAAAAACACTTTCAAGCGAATCGGTACCGTGGTATAAATGGAAAACACAATTTAGTTGAAATAATTTTCAGTTTTACATGAAACTAAAATATCAGGTTTTACGCCTATGAGCGAAAAAAAACAGCAAGTTCGACCGGGCCGAACTTTAAATACCCTTTACCATTTGGAAACTTTCAAAAAACTTAAAAAAAATCGTTAAAAAAATACAGCTAAAATCGTAAAATACCGAATATAGGGTGTACCGTTATATAGCGGCTACACGAATACGTGGACCTGAATATGCAATTTTCTGTAACAGATGGTGGTACCAATTAGGAACTTCAAGTATCAATACACCGAGTATGGAGGTACAGTTATATGGGCTATACCAAAAACAAATCCAAATTCGGCAGACCGAATACACATCTGAGTAAAATTTTATCAACCTACGTAATTTCCACCGACGGACAGTATAAAATTCTATATCGATTTAGCGACGATATAGAATTTTATGCTGATCAGGAACATATATACTTTATGGGATCTAAAATGTATATTTCGAGGTTTTACAAACGGCATGACAAACTTAATATAACCTCCATATTATGGAGGTTTGGCCCATCTTGGCCCATTTGGCGCATCCTCCACCATGAGGAAAAAAAATCATCGAGAAATATGTCCTAAATTTTTTTGCAAGACATTAAACAATATTTATAACTTATCTTTAAGTTCTAAGAATATCTAATATCTAGTGCTACCGTATTATGATGACTATATCGGAACATGGACCTGTATCCAACCCATTGTGCTACAATTTAAAAAATATCTATTAACAACTTTAAGTGCAAATTGCAAGTAAAAATGGTTTAAAATAAGGCGATACCCTTAGAAATACGTAAAAATTATACAATATCTAAGACCGGGCCGAAAATAATGGGGGCTGTATCAAAACGTAAATTTATTTAGATTTGTATACCCTCAGCCAGCATAAGGCTACTGAGGGTATATATCTTTTGATACGGCCAAAACGTGCCTAGTCGAAATAAGACCCTATGACCAAATCCGTTTCAGGCCATTTGGAGTCGATCTAGAGATGTCCGTCCGTTCGTCTATCTGTCTGGCTGGCTGGTTGGTGCGCACGATAACTCTCGAAGGAAGTATCCGATTTGATCCAAACTTGTGTACATCGTAATATTATTGTCAAACTTAGATCGAGTTCTGAGGTGGGCAATATCGGTCCACTCCTTCCGGTACCTCCCCCACAAAATGTCAACATTTTCAAAGAAAATAATTTACTGCACAGAAAAAGAAAGAATAATCCGATTTTCGTACCTCTCCCACAAAGGGTCAAAATTTTAAATAATTATAACTCCTATAAAATGTGATGTAAGTATCGAATTGCCTTCAGCTTGCACACAACACAATATTTTTAATAACCCAAGGTCTGGTGTGAAGATGGAATATATCGGTCCACTCCTTCTGGTACCTCCTTCACAAAATTTTGAATATTCATGAAGCGCATCAAAAGCGGAATTAACATCCGATTCCATTCAGACTTGGTACATCTCAATATTTCCATTAACACAATATCTGTTATAAAGATGGTCGAGATCCCCACAAATGTTTCATAATTTTGAAAAACAAAACGCGAAATAAGCCTCTAATCCATAGCAAATCGGAAATCTCTATAGACAATTTTATACTTCCAGGATTGTCATCTACCAAATTTTCTTAAATATCAAATTTGAAACAATTTCGTCGGTAAATGTGACTAGGATTATCAAAATACCAAATATCGGTAGATATCGTTATATGTGCGCAATAGGAAAACGTTGACCTAAATATTTAATGTTCTGTTGGACAAAACCATGGAACAATATTATAAAAATCATTAAAATACTGAATATACGGAGGTATCATCATGTGGGGGCAATACAAAAACGTGGACCTATATATACTATGTTCCGCCACCGGAGCTAGAATCCATTGCGATCCACAAATACCAATTTTTAGACAAATCCGTGGAAAATCCGTGGAAATCAAAATACAGAATTTCAGCTGATACCGTTATATCGCGGCTATACCAAAACATGGACTGATATATCTCATTTTCCATACCAACCATCCTAGACACAATACAAATTGTTCTGCAAAATTTTGAAGTTCTACGTCAAATAATGTGGGATGTATCGTGATTTCAACAGAGAGAGACAGACGGACATCGTTAAATCGACTTGATCATGAATATATATACTTTATGGGTCCTACGCCGACCCGGAATGATAATGCTAATATACCCTCCTTTTCAAGGTGGAGGGTATAAAAATCCTGTATCCAAACACTGTGCGCATCACCAACAACATCATCGTCTTATTGTGTATTCTTTCATTCTGTCATGAATTATTCTTTCGAACTGACAAATTTTCATCTATTTCGGATGCCAACACGCAGAACTATGATTACAAATGACTTTTCATCTCGAATGGCATGGTTTTTGACTTGACTGGTGGCAGGCAACTTATTTTGCATTTAAGTTTTTGAAATTTTGTATACGTATATTTAAAGTATCATTTGTTTACACGGCGAGAACGGCAGCGAAGTGAAAGTACTCAGTCGAAAATGTTTGCAAATTAAACAAAATTATTATTATTGTTTCAATATTTTGTTTTGGTGGTGAGAAAGAGAAAAACAAAACTTGATAATAGATTAGAAGAAAATTTTGTTTTAATTATTATTTTTTTTAAATAATTACGAAGGGGATAATGACGGTTGCAATTGAATTACTTCTCCAATTGGTAAGAAGATGCAAAATTCACTTCGAGTTTTAACAATTATATTTTTATTTTCTTAAAATGGCAAAGTGAGAAGCTAATCTCTGTTTTTTTGTTGACTAATTATGGCAAATTTGACGTATTTTTAACAGAGCACAGATTTACTCATTTTCACACGGGTGTGGAACTTGATCGAAGTTTTATTCGGAATTTATTCTTACTCTTTTGTTTAAAGCGGGAGCGCTCCCGAGTCACTAATGTTTGAAAAAATGAGGGTAGAAGTCGAATCGCTCGAAATAGAGTGAGTGTGTACTCTAAGAGTGAAATTGTGTGTACATGCTTGTATAAAATCAAACCGGTTTTGATGTAGCTGTGCTTTGGGAGAGGAGTGACAGTGTATAGAATCAAAAAAAAAAAAAAAAAAAAAAAAAAAAAACAAGTAAAAAGCTGTAATTACGGCCGGGTCGAACTTTGAATACACTCCACCATTTGAAACAAATTTGGTAATTTTCAAAAAAATAAATCCGTTAAAAATTCTGTTAAAATCTTAAAAATACTGAATGTAGCATATTAGGGTCTATTCGAGGACGTTGACCTTCATAGGCAACTTTTGTCATAAGCTATTACAATATTCAAATGCGAAACTTTAAAAAAATATGTTTATAATGTCGCTAAAATCATCAAAATACCGAATATCGGGAGGTACCGTTATATGGGGGCTATACGAAGACGTGGACCTGCACAGACAATTTTCTGTGATAGGATGTAGTATCCATTACGAACTTCATATGCGAAATTTAAAACATTCCGGTAAATAATGTCGCTAAAATCATCAAAATACCGAATATCGGGAGGTACCGCTATATGGGGGCTATACGAAGACGTGAACCTACATGGCCCATTTTCTGTCTTAGGATGTAGCATCGATTACGAATTTCAAATACCAAATTTGAAACAATTCCGGTAATGTCGCTAAAATCATCAAAATACCGAATATCGGGAGGTACCGTTATATGGGGGCTATACCAAAAACCTGGACCTACATGGCTCATTTTCAATACCAAAAGTCCTGCAGATATAATACACATTTGAGTAAATTTTCTTCAACTTACTTCATTTTGTTCGGAAGCTAGAGTGAATTTCCGCAGACGGACGGACATCGCTAAATCGCCATAGAATTTTATGCTGATCAAGAATATATATACTTTGTGGGGTCTAAAATGTATATTTTGTGGTGTTACAAACGAAATGACAAACTTAATATACCCTCCAAACTATGGTGGAGGGTATAAAAATGGCAAAGTGAGAAGCTAATCTAATATTTTTATTGACTAATTATACAAAGGTGACCTGCCTGCAGACAAAAGAAAGATCTGTGAAATTTTTTTGCTTCCTATCCTAATTTGTTTTGACTGTAGCGTGATTACAACAGACGGGCAGAAGGACGGTCAGGGCTAAATCGTATTAGAATTTTACGCTGATTAAGAATATATATTCTTAGTTGGGTCTAAAATGATTATTTCGATGAGTTACAAACGGAATGACGAACTTAATATACCCTCCATACTATGTATGGTGGAGGGTATAAAAACAAAACAGCAGAAGGAAGATTTTGTGTACTAAAGCAACAAAAACAACAAGACGTCATATTTTTTGTTGGTACAGATTGGTGACAATGCCCTTCCCTCTCAAATTCGAGTGAGTTGCACTCTTTACTCAAGTTTGAGCGAGTTGTTCGGAAGTCTGCAAGCAAATACAATTTTAATTTTTTATACCCTACACCACACTCCACACTGGTCAGGGTATTATGTCTTTGTGCATTTGTTTGTAACATTGAGAAGGAAGCGAGTTAGAATCATAGTTCCTTTTGATGGTTGCATAGAATTACATTCTGAGTCGATTTATGCATGTTCGTCCGTCCGACCATGTATTTCTGTAAACAAAGTACAGGTCGCATTTATTTTTCGATACAGATGAAATTTTGCACAAGT